TAGGAGCTAGCGCGCCTACGATATCAAGGTCCGCAGCCGTCAACGGGTTCTCGCCAATCATGACCTCGAAAGGAGAGAGCTCAGTGGATGAATGACTTGTTGTGTTGTAGGCAAGTTCCAAGGCCGGAAGCAAACGCTCCCACTCGCGTTCGTCAGATTGGATGTAGGTACGAAGCATTTGCTCGAGTGTGCGGTTAACCCCTTCAGTTTGGCCGTCGCTTTGGGGATGGCAGGACGAGGGGATGCACCGTTTGATGTTGAAACGGCTAGAGTTGTCGCCAGATATCTGACTGAAAAGGGGGGTTGCGTTCCGATATGAGCACTTCTGGAAAGCCGTGATAGCGGATAAGGCGGTCTGCGAGAAGCTCCACGGTGTCTGCTGCTGTGAATGACTTCTTTGCAGGAACGAAGTGAGCCATCTTGCTGAGGGAGTCAACTATCACAAGAATCGAGTCGTGCCCAGTCGTTGTAAGGGGAAAATCTGTGATAATGTCAAGACGCACGTGTGCCCACCGACGAGAAGGGATGAGTAGCTGTTGAAGAAGGCCTGCAGGTTTCTGGTTAAGGGACTTTGATGCTCAACAGTGAGTGCGTGATTCAACATAAGCAGTAGTGTAGGCGCGCATTCCTGGCCAGTAGTATTGCTTGCTAAGAGCCGCAAAGGTCTTTTTCTGGCCTCAATGGTCGGCTGTGACATGGTCGTGATGTGAATGCACAACTTGAGTAAGGAACTCAGGGAATTGTGGGACTCAGATGCGCCACAGTCCATGAACGCGGATGCGCAGGTAAGGCTGCACGTAGCGAAAGGTGAATTGGTGATTACGAAACTGTATTTGCAGAGCTTCTCCTGGTTGGTTTGCTGCGGCTTTGTAGGGAGCGCGAAAATGGGGACACTTCGAGTAAGCTTGCGGCCATGGGCGCACATCAGGAGGGTCAGCTGGTGTCCTCGTTGTGGGGATAAGGTGTTCCGCCTCTGGATTTGGTTGCGGCGGCGAAGTTGAAGGTGCGGACGGCAGGCTGCGTCGTGTGGGTCGTCGCGAAGGAATTCCGGCAAGCTCCCTGTAGTTGGCAGGCCGACCACGAGTGCAAGGAACCGCGCGAGCTTGTGCTACTGCAAGCATCAGAGGTGTTAGTGGCGTGTCGTGCGAGCAGGTCTTAGGAAGGCCGGGACGGCGAGACAAGGCATCAGCCACTTGAATGGACGCTCCTTGAACATAGGTGATGTGCACATCCAGAAACTCGGCCAGGAAGTCTAACCAGCGGGCAGTGCGTCCGCGCAGAGGCTTCGATGTTTGGAGTCGTTGGAGATGGGTGAGAGCTTGATGATCAGCGTAAGCCGTTACCTTGGAAACATGGAGCAAATGTGACCACTTGTCCAGTGCCGTGACCAACGCCAAGAGTTCCTGACCGTAGATCGAGTGTCTCTGTTGTATGGGGTTCATGACTTGGCTGAGGAAGCCGATGGGCTTGCCGTCTTGTTCCAGAACTGCTCCGATCGCATAACCAGAGGTGTCCGTGTATAACTCGAAGGGTTGCGTGGTGTCAGGAACTTGTAACGTAGTGAAGTCGATTAAGTGCTGTTTGAGCTGCCTCACCGCTTTCGTGTGAAGCTCTGTCCAGCGTCTCGTTGTCCAGCACCTCGGGCCAATGCCGTATGGCTTCGATTTTGTCTTCTGCAGGTTTGATCCCCGCAGCAGAAATGGTATAACCCAAATATGTAATTGATTGCCTTGCAAACTTGCATTTGCGGAATTTTTTGGAAGAATTGATGTCTAAGAAAAATACTTAGGACTTGTTGCAGGAGGGAAACGTGCCCAGAAAGATCGGGACTATAGATAAGTACATCATCTAGGTACGCAATAACGCCCTGCCCTAATAAATGTTGTAGATAGGCATTAATGTTGGCCTCGAACGTAGCTGGAGCACCCTTAAGGCCAAAGGGCATTACTCGGTACTCGAAAAGCGCGAGAACGGAACGGAAAGCCGTCTTCCAACGGCCTTCCATAGCCATACGTATTTGAAGGAATCCTGCGTCACGGTCCAAAGCGGAAAAATACTTGGCGCCTCCCAGCATCTCCAAAATGGTTTGAATGGGAGGTAGTGGAAAATCAGGGGCTATCGTAAGGGCATTTAGAGCCTGGTAATTAACAACCATACGCATCTTCCGCTCCCCGAAGCCGTCATCAGGTTTGTCTACCATGATCGTAGGAGAGCAAATAGGCGAATAGGCTGGTCCAGTCCAACCATTGTCCGATAATTTAGCTATTTCCTGTTTGTGGAATGTGAGCTGATCTGGGATCATACGGTATATCGCAGATTTTGCTGAGAGTTTTCCAGGCACCAGTAGGACATGGTGATCATGAGGGCGCTTCGGCAGTAATCCTTAAGGTAAGTTATCGGGGAAGACCGCTCGATACTCCTGCAACACCTGGATAATCTCACATGGAACAGCCTGCGCCTCTGTCGAATTTATCCATTCGTCGAACAGAGTGTGCTCGAGTTTTGCCATAGGCCAGGGAGACTCCTCTTCACCCTCCGCTGCCGTCAAGGCGTTGGAGGCAAAAGAACTACCCCAGCCGGAGGACGCGGGTTGATAAAAGCGCAGCAAAGCGCGCCTTCCCATTCATCCTAGAACCTTAGGGGCACCGCCGAACCGGCTTCGGCAAAACCAGTATGAGATGCAAACCATGCAGTGGTGCCCTAAGACTCTTTGTGTCAGCCGCCGCCTGACGAATGAGCGACGTGATCCGTGCCTTCGCCTTAGTCTTTGCATGGGACTTGTTCCTTTTAGGTGGCGGGCGTAGGAATATAGCTGCCTCCTCGGCTGACATAACCCCCACTTGTTTGGCCAATATTTCATCTGCTTGCTGCTTGCTCTGCCGGGGTCCTTCGGTGAACTACGGTGGGATTGTCACCTTGCAGCTTTGCTTCACCAGTCCTAACGACCGGTAACTCGCACCACTGGCCATTCACATAGGTTGGGAGCTTGTCGGACTGGAAATACCAGGCCACCTTATATTACGCTCATAGCGGACTAGAATTGGTCCCACGTGACGAAGGGACTGTCCCCTGGCATAACATTGGTCATAGGTATCACCTGTGGGGGTGCCTCCTTATGGCCATGCGGCCGCTCTGCCATGGTGGGCTTCAGACTAGCATGTTGATGTCCCGCGCGGCATTTTGCCTACAGACATTGTAGAGGTCTCCTGCTGTGTGGTGACGATAACACGTCCGTTGCGGAGATGCATCCCTTATCATGCGAAGATATCTAGGTGTGAAACATTGAAACCTAGTATTTCTACTCCCAAGTCCGGAAAGAAGAAAGATTTCAATTCCCGGAACAGCCCTCAAATGTAGTGCACAGCGCCTACTGCCGCGACTACGCTGCCACCTGCCCCGCAAGTAGGGGCCTACGATAACCACCTACCTTCGGCGCATTCTACTTGAAATAACATTCCAAATATCACAAAAGGTAGTTATCTCTAGCTTTCAAAATCTATTTTATTGAAAATCCCCCTTACTCGGGGTTCTTCCCTCCCGTGCCCTGTGGGGAGGAGGCCTGAACCGGTGCCGCCGCTATCGCCAGCCCCAATCTCCAGGTATTCACAGACACTTCTAGTGTATACATGATAATTTGCCGATAAATTGCCTTACTTCGATACTATTAAGAATGTCCTGTCCTTGTTCAGCGTTATGACCTCTTGTAGATTGCCAGCTAGCTATCTTCTTACTGTCACCAGCAAGCCCTATTGTAGTGCCTGTGCACTACAGTGAATCTGTTGTTATGCAGGCAGGAGGGTACGCGGCTCTGCAGTTACGGTGTGGTAGAAAAGGTGCTACAGAGAATGCCTCCTTCAATGGTAAACATCAAAATAGGGTCTTCACCTTTGAAATATGACAAACAACCATAAATCAGGTCTGGACATTCCTGCAGAGATTCAGTACTCATAGGTCAAAGCGACAGGAGCAGATGACGCCGGGGATGCTTTGCATCTTCCGCCGTTGCCGTGCTAAAGAGTTATTCTCACAGTGAGACCAACTCTTTCTCTCCAGCTTTTCCAAAGAACGCTAGAACATCTATTTCCCTTCTCTACTTGCACCTTGCGTCCGTGAGCCAGCGCAGACAGTCAAGCGAATTCAAGTTGCTTTTTACACTGATGCCGACTTAAGACAGCTCCAAATGGACTATAAAGAACCTCACAGCATGGTCTAGTGCCAATATGAGGTTCGACTCACGGCGTTTTGAAGCCTGCACTTGTGTCTGTCCGTTGTGTCGGGTGCTGAACGACCTAGTTGAGTGTAGCTGATGAACCACTATGCCATCAGCGTGTCTGCTTAGTGAATTATGCATCAAACGCGGCCAAAGAATACTGTTCGCCCCGAAAATTGGTATCCTGAATGCAAAGTAAGGGCTCACGATACTTCTCGAGCCGTCACAGTAGATGCACGCTGTAACACTGTTGTCTGCCAAAACTGGGATAAAACTAGCAAACTGTGCGAATATGAAGCAACCAAACAAGGATGGAAAAAATGGACTTGGAAAACAGCGTACTTCTTGCTATTGCCTACAGGTAACGGCGAAGAAACAGAAACAATAGTAGCCGCGCAGCCCCGTTCACAGGTCTAGTTAGAAGTTCGACGCAGGTATCAAGAACAAGTAACGCCTCTCAGTATCCTCACTTGCAAAACACTTGTCGCTTAGTTCCTGTAAGAGTGCATGCCGTTGCATGCCAGCTGTCTGAGGGTGTAAAAAGTTACACCACATTGGCCATCAGCTTGACTACACGAGACTTCTAGGCTGTAAAGGGTATAACGCGCCATTTGTGGGCTTCTAAATTGGAGAAAGTAGCCTTGTATGTAACGGACGAGCTACAAATGCTGAAACCATCCCACTGAAGAAAATGAGCGGCAACTTCTGCTGAGTTGCCACAATGTCAAAAGAGGTGAGTCTGTTAGTAATATGTGATGTTCTCTGCGGTTTCCGTGAAGGGACGAAGTTCAGTTGCGTCACTCAGAACCTAAGGATGTTGTGAGGTCTTGACAATAAATGCTGACTCTCAAGCTTTCAACGCAGACCATTGCAGTGGGCAGTAATCCAGACTTACGACAAATGGGATAACGAGGACGTTGAACTCGATGTGGAAGACGTAATACAAACAGTTGAGCAACAAAGCTTCACAGCTGTGCCTCTATATGCCAAGCAATCAACTTAGATCTCGCGCCAAAAACATCCGTGCAACCCTGCTGCGAGGCCAGCAAGGCATGAATGCTGTTGTGCTCCTTTCTATTTACGTATTAAACAAAAACCAGGTGTTATACGGCTTTAAAAAAACCGCGAGTAAGCTGCAGTTCTCGAGGATCACTGCTTGCGTGCGTTTCAAATGCGCCAAAGTGTTGAAGAGGTACCTTCCCTAAAACCAAATCAGTATAAATCACAGGAGAACCACAATACAGCTATCCCTCCAGAATAGCACACACAACCACATATACAGACTGGCCACAGGAAGTTACCCCGTCGCATCCCAGTGGAATTTGTAAATGTGTCCTACCCAGCGTTCTGCTTGTTGATCACGCTGAACCCTTCTACGATTTAGAAATCTCAGCCTTATCAGTCCCAGCTCAAAGACCTCGACAGACTACTACACCAAAAAAGCAGTACGAACCGCCCCCACACCCATACGCATGTCTCCTTGGTTGTGACGTCAGCGGTGGATCAGTCAACAGATTAGACGCTATACGAACTTCCGTCAATATCAGAGAGGTACGACTTTTAGAAAATGCAGGTTTTCACGTCAGGTGAAAGTAAACGAAACAACGTGTGGGGGAACACCATAATGTGTGGAAAAGTAGAGCCACTGGAGCCCTAGGGAACACCTGAGGATGCATACGTCGGGAAAATCACATTAACATCCTGACGCTGTAAAAATATGGAGAAATTCTTGCAAAAAAGATGGCGCAAAGCACACTTTTTGGTGAGGATGCACCGGATGAAACGGCCTAACCCACTTGGCGTCAAGCTGCATGTGAGAGCTGAACAGTCGCATGTGTGTTCTTCACATGGAACAAAAGGCAACGTGTTGTTCAGAAAGCGAAACTATCTCTGATACATCAGGAGAATGCTGTTACAGCGATCCATGTGCGGGGTGTTGTCAGTTGAGCAACAGCAGCAGCAGCAGCAGCGGGCTGCTGCGTGCAGCGGCGGCAGCAGCAGCAGCAGTGTGCGGATGAAGCGCCGTGCCTGCAGGCGGGTTGCTTGGTCACAGTTAAGCATTTTTGAGCCTGTAGAGTGACCTCTGACGGCGAATTTTGTGTGTCTGAGCCCTTATTCTGGTGTCTCTCCGAGAAAATGATTGAGGACATCAAGACTCTTCGGGAGGAGCATGTGTACCGCGCCAAGCTCGCTGAGCAGGCGGAGCGCTATGACGGTAGGTCTTTTTTTTTTCCTACGCTTACACCGCAATTAGGGATATTTGGCACAGCGTATCTGATTATTTCATTCGTCTTCTCCGTTGTGGCGACGCTTGGTTGGAGAGTGCTTCCACAGTCACGCTGTCATGGGATGGCAGGGTGATGGGTCGCAGGTGCGGTCAGCCGTAAGTTTTTCCTCTGGGTGAGGTCTACAGCTGAGGGTTCAGTCACTATTTTTTTTTAAGTTGACAATGCTTCTGGCTAGAGCGAATCGACCGGTTCTGTCTCACGCGAACCATTGTGGACAGAGGGGGATGCGCTACTGCAGTGGCGCCGAGGCTGCTTCAGCACATACAAAAAGCTGGGGAGCTCCCTCAGGAACATCCACCAGTCGCTGTTGGGCTACTGCATACAGTGACGGGTTTTCTGGCGACAGTGCCCTCGCGGTGGTCCCAACGTAACACGCTGGGCTTCCGGGGAGGACTATCTATCTGGAAGAGTTCGTGTGTGCGGGCGGACTCCGCGCTTCAGCTTGTTGGCAACATATATCGTCATTGGATTTGGGTGTAGCGCCAGGGGAGGTTATCTACCTTCTTCCGTTCCGGACTGAAGATGCGCCTGGGTGGCGGGATTTGCGGACGCCGCTTCATTGAGAAGCTGCGCGTTGCGCAATGCTTTACTTAGTGGTGACCGAAGTGCTTTTTGAGTGTGTTTTGGGCTGTTTTTTCGCGGTGGAGGCCAAGATGAGGAGCTTGCCCGTATTCCCAAAGGAACTGTGGAGGCTTGTACGGACGTGATCGAGCAGTTTAGTGTGCATGCGGCTTAGGTCACTTTTTGTTTGCGGTTTGTGAACTATGCGCAGAAATGGCAGAGGCTATGAAGAATCTGGTGGAGAACTGCCTCGATCAGAACAACTCCCCTCCTGGTGCCAAAGGGGACGAGCTAACTGTTGAGGAGAGAAATCTTCTTAGCGTTGCATACAAGAATGCCGTGGGTGCTCGCCGTGCCAGCTGGCGCATTATTTCTTCTGTGGAGCAGAAGGAGGCCAACAGGAACCATATGGCCAACAAGGCCCTTGCAGCGAGCTACAGGCAGAAGGTTGAGAACGAACTCAACAAAATCTGCCAGGAAATCCTGACGCTGCTCACCGACAAGTTGCTCCCTCGCACCACCGTGAGCCTTTGCTGTGCTTTCTATGCATCCTGCATCCCTGGGCATCAAGTGAAAGTCATACGTGGAGATCCATGGTGGTGAACATTGTAGTAGGTACTTAGTTACCTGGCACCTAGCTGGCAATTCCGCGCGGGTTGTATGCAGGATTCCGAGAGCCGAGTATTCTATTTCAAGATGAAAGGCGACTACTATCGCTATATTTCTGAATTTAGCAATGAGGAAGGCAAGAAGGCCTCGGCAGAACAGGCGGAGGAATCGTACAAGCGTGCAACGGACACTGCGGAAGCTGAACTCCCGTCAACTCACCCAATTCGTCTGGGCCTTGCGTTGAACTATTCCGTCTTCTATTACGAAATTCTCAACCAGCCACAGAAGGCCTGCGAGATGGCCAAACTTGCGTTCGATGACGCAATAACCGAATTCGACAGCGTAAGTTCGTATTTCACCTCGTCTCAGCTTGCGTTTCCACTTTGCTTCGACATTTTTTCCGTAGCTGAACTGGGAACGCAAGGGTTTTGCTCTTAGGCATTTGTGCATTTGCCATCTGAAGGTTTCGGAAGATTCGTACAAGGATTCTACGCTGATCATGCAGCTGCTGCGTGACAATCTTACTCTATGGACCAGCGATTTGCAGACTCAGGAACAACAGCAGCAGCCTGTGGGTGAAGGTGCTGAGGCGCCAAAGGTGGAGGCTACTGAGCAACAGTAGGCTCATTATGCCACTCGCATCGTCGCACAGCGCCGACAATGGCGTTAATCGACATGTTGGTGTTAAGGTGGAAGGTTTCGGGGTACGAGGGTCCAGCATGGTGTACATTTTGTGGAAGAAAGGTCGCACAGCATGCACGGAATTGACAAATTAGGCCTGGAAATTACTCGCGGATAATGGCGACTTCACGCCACACAGACAACCGGCATTGCATCGTTGCTTTGATGCACCGTATCAGTTAATGGCCGGGCAGAGACGCAGCCCTTCACTGTCCGCTCGTGTTGTTATACGATAACACATTACCAGTCGCTTTTGCATGGCGTTCAGCACCTTCGCCATGAGCAACAGCAGATATTAATGTTCCCGAGTAAAGCAAGCTTGCTGGTCATACAGCAGAGGAGGACTGGTGTGCCGAGTGGCATGGCGAACGACTGTGCGCAGGGCTACAGCAGTATTGTGAACAGCTATAGGCATTGAGCGATGGCCGGCTTCAAAGTTGCTCCGATGAAGCTCCTTTCATGTGGTACGAAGGAGCTTCTATGCGAGTGAGAATTGTGACGTGTGACACAACCGTGGAGGTGAAGGAGAGTACTCGCAAGCGTCTGCTCCTGTATCTGACGCTGCTAGGCAGCGAACGCGAATCGGAATGCGTCGCGTGGACGTTACAGTGCCATAATCAAATGCTCGCAAGTGGTCCCTTGGGAGTAGTCCAGTTTACTAGATATGTAGGTTTCGTGTAGGGTATATTGGTAGCGATGATAGTGGTAGTTTAGCTGTGCGGGGGTTCCTGTGTGGAGGTCGCCGCAGGAATTAGTAGGCAGCGTCCAGTGAGGCAATGTTGGAGGCGGTTGCCATTTGTGGCGTTGGTGGCTGCGGCAGTTGGGTGGGTAGTAGAACTTCTACACCGCCACCGTCAGCGAGAGAGTAGCGAGGTTGCACTGGAGGGCAGAGCATTCGTCAAGGCGGGGAGCGCCACTTCATTTTGACGAGTATTCATACGGATAGTGCCGCCATAGGTCAATTTGTGAACGGTGCTTCTCTGCGTCCCCTGCGTTTTGGACGAGGGGACCGTACTGCTACCTCAACAGGTTTCATTCGTTGCCGAAGACCGTCGCGCCTGTACCGACTTTCCACTGATTCGTGAATACGGGAGCCACTACATAGTAGAGGAACCTGGTGACGAAGTCGCACTGCCCGGGGCCACAACACGAGTGAGTTTTGTGGTGCAACCCCTGTGACGGTCGTACAAATAAATGAGGCAGACTGAAACAAGTAGAGCTGAAGGAAATGCTGCTACGTCGGAAAATTCGACCACTTGGCAAGAGCAACCCAAGCGTACGTATTTGAGAACAGGCGCAAGATGTAGTTGGCACACACACAGGATTGACCCTGAAGAAATGCAACAGCAGCGTCGGCTAATAGTCTCATGGCTGCCTTGACGATGTCTTGACCCCATCTTCCACTGCTTCACAACTGGAGAATAAACCGGGAACTGACGGATGGCAGCGTTGTCTCTCCAGGAACAGCTGGGCAGCCGTGCTTCATGGGCTGGCTGTAACGCGTGCGCGGATGTTTAGTTGCTCTGTCGTTCGCGTCCGTTGCATGCGAGTGAGTGGTTAAAACTCTTGGAAGAACACGGCACAAGGATGCCGCATCTGCGGTGTTACGTGCCTGTCTCGGTTGGCCTCGAAGACAAGCAGTGCACTGTGCGCTCCCTGCAACTGTACAATAAATCTGCGTTGGGCATTAGCCGCCTGCAAACTACTTCCACGTGTAATCCCGTTAGATATGGCGCCGTGAGCAACTCTTGAGTAATTGTTAAGCATTCCAAGTGGCTCCAGGATACACTAAACATGAATCATGAGTATTATCCAGTCGCCTGAAAAATTGGCCTAAAGGCCACTGATGCAAGTATGTGAAAAAGGTGGCAAACGCTTCAGAGACAGAAATCTCCACGATTGCACTAAATGCCACTGTGGAACCACTGCGGGTTGACAACGCGTGTTCAGAAGAGAACAGTTGATGAGTACCTCTAGGTGGATCCTGTTCTCATGAACTGCAAATTCCCATATGAAATTACTGAGTGTCCTCAGTCATTTCTTATCAGCTTCCATTGTCATTCAGGCTAACAACCTCGCGCAACATGTGAAACTGGGGAAGAACAATCCTGCAGGTAGTCTTTGCCCCCCTGACACTTCTCAGAGCTCGTCTGTTGCGTAGTACCTTGAGGTAAGAGCGGAAAAATGGGCTCCATCACGCGCCGCCCGTGACAAGCGAACAAACTGGGAACGTTGTGTATTCAGAAGTTCGCGATCTTATCACGCGTAGTACCCTTGCGTCGCACCGTAGCTGTAGCCCTCTCCGAAATCTGCACATGGATACGCAAGCACAAGTGTCCAGAAAAAGTACTGAGGATGCGTGCTTCGCTCAAGAGTTGTGAAAAAGCGTTCCTTCATGAGGGCTATTGGCACCATGCCCGCCCGCAGACACACCCTGTTCTGCAAGCAGGTCCTCCTCGGTGTCCTCTCTGGTTTTGATGAAACGCTTGTATAAACACCCTAAGAACAAAACATGCAAAGAATGGTGGGCGCCTGCTTTACATTTCAAGTCAGGTGTACCCAACTGGCATGTTGGGTTCTTTGGTCAGCGAAAGCTCTTAAAACTGTAATTCGTGAAGCTGCAGACGCAGACTGTGCTGCCGAAGTGCTCATCCACAAACAGCAGTTGAAAGGGACGCTGGCAAGCTGTGAAAACGCACACAATACGCCTCCAGAAATGAGTATTAGCGCAATCGTAGACAAAACAACGACAGCCCAAACCCATGATGGTGTATCGCTCGTTGCGCCATTCGCAATGAACACTGCAAGCTGTTCGGATGCCGCTTTGTCTGTGCACTCCCACAGTCCTGCCTGTGTAGTGCTCTTCGTGCAGTACTTGTAGTCACCGCACGTCAATCCCAAAGTTGTGCAAGCCAGATCTTCGTTGCCGGGCAAAGCTGCACAACATCAAAACAGGCCGACGAAGTTGTGAACTGAAGCTAAATTTGCCTAACGACTCTCCAAAAATGTACCCAAACCTCCCGTTCCTGTTGAACAGACCAAACAAAAACATAAATAATGATGTTTGCTTACGCTCGCACGTGTTGACTGTCCCGGCTCCACGAAACCCTTGGATGCATTCGCACTTAAATGATCCAGGAACCAAGGAACATGCGGCAAATACCGTGTCACAGTCATTCTTCCCCGTGCCGCAGAAGTCTTCCGTCACGCATCCACTACCGGAAGAGTCGGGCTCGAATCCAGCACTACACTCGCACTTATAAGATCCCGCAAGGTTGGTGCAGACTGAATTAGATGGGCAGATGGACGGGTTCTCATTGCATTCATTGATATCTGAAGCAGCGTTCCACGATAGGGCGCATTCCTAAGCAAAACTCTATTCCGATAACGAGCACATGCAAAGTAGGAAACTAAGTTCTGACTTAGCGACATCAGGTGACTCTGGCATGCAGGTTCCCTATAGATTGTTTTTAGAGGCTCGAACCTCTGCATGCGACGTTGGGCTTATCGTTATTGCCAGTCCAGCCTTTATGGCATTTGCACAGCTGTTCTTCTCCATCACGGTTGATGCAGTCGCTGTTCTCATCACAATTTCCCCTGTTTGTGGAGCATTCATTGATGTCTGAAGAGGCAGCTCACAACCACAACCACGTCCACATGCTCATTTTCAACCCAAACAGCTCTCTGCAGCAACCCTAGTCACATAAAACAAACACTCTGCAAAATAGTCTAGATAGAAATACCCTCACTACTGTACTCAATACGCACAAGACTCATGCCATGCAAGATGAAAAACGCACAACACGATAAGCCAATAGCTAGCTCTGTGATAAGGTGGAGTGACGCTGCTGACCAATGCAAACTCCGTCCTTTTCTTGCCTGTACGGTCCACAGCCGCAAGTAAAGCTGCCCGGAATGTTCACACAATCGCCGCCCTTTTGCTTGCAATTATCAAGGCCCTGAGCGCACTCGTCTATATCTGTGGGACAAAAGCAAATAGACAATGATCTGCGCGACCGTTACAACAAACTAACGGCGTGGTGTACAGTGCCAGGTACGCACTAATTCTTCCCCCATGCTCTTGCTTCTTAATTAACAGTCATACCCAGATTTCTGTTGTAGTAGTGCCGTGCGCAGCACTCACCGATACAAGTGGAGCTCAGGTTTATGCCTTGTGGAGTGAAGCCTTTCTGGCAAGCACACCAGAAGCCGTCTCCGCTTTGGCATGACTCTGCGTGTTCAACCCTCGAGCAGTGATCATACCCTCCGGCGTCGCACGCTGCAATGGATCAAACATGCGCCTCGAGCAGCAGGAAAGGTGAAAACAGGATCCCTACTGGCCATTAGGACAAGCAACTTGCCCCCATTCTAGAATACAGCGCAGAAACCCCTCGCCTCTGAACTGGCACGAATTGCATGATCTCCTTGACGAAAAGCCGTTTAGGACTCACGAGTGCTGCTTTTGCCTCCCATAGCTGCGAGTCGCGGCGGTCCAGGTCACCCGGCCCCCTACCGTACTGCAGATGGCGCAACCCGCCAGTTCAAAGGCCACAGCGGGCTTTACGTAATCCAGTAAAGATATTACTGGATACAGAAAAACGAAACCGCAGAATCGAGTCAATGCTACAACGACACAGCTGTTCTGACCTAAGGGATGCACTGAACCAGAGGGGGTTCACCTCAAAGTCTTAGAAGAGATATGGGGGAGTAAACAAGGGTTTTTGGCCCATGAAAACGGAAATCAGATGATGATGACAGACCTCAAACACTTATCATTTGAGAGCCTCCTGTAGAATGGTAGCCTTCGCTCATCGCGGCACCAGGCCACCCGCCAGTGTCACTGGCTACTTGCATCGTGTAGCCTTGAGAGCAATTGCATGCAAGGTCTTCACTGTTTGTTTTCTGAGTGTTCTCATTTGGCATGTTCATCTAGAATTTGGAGTTTCTAAATGGGAAGTATTCTTATCCATTTAGGACAGGGTAAGAAGGAAGAGTCTCTGCTCAGTCATGCAGGTGGTCTGGTCCACACTCTCGAAAGCAAGCCTTCCCCAGTCATTAATGGACAGATACTCCTTGTGTTGATTGAGTATTCAGTTTCAGTTAGTATGTGAGTTTTTCTGGCGAGATGACAATTGGACAGGGACGCTCAACGGGTCTCCGTACAAAAGCCATTAATATCCCGACAGGGGTGACCACTAGCATCGTCAACTTGCATATGAGTGCTGTCCTAGGGAGCAATTTTAAGACATTACTGGTTCCTATATCGTATGGTTTTAGGGAACTGCTGCAGCAGTTACCCCACAATGAGAGAGATCGACAGCAGATTTGCGCCGTTTTTCCCATGACTTGGTTGGGAAGGCATTCCTCGTCTGCGGGGCCAATTCTTCCATAATTAGGACTACAAGATGTATTTTGTGGGCCGATGTCCCAGAAACACACCTCAGTCCTCGCATGAGGGCATGCAGAGTTGTCCCGGCTGACTACCCACTGAGTTATGTACGCGGGGTGCGCATTCCAGTGCCGCGTAACTGCTGTGAATTATCTCAAGTATCCAACGTTTACAGCTAAGACTACCGGGGTATCGAATCCCATTCGCTACCTTTGCCGTAACTTCCTGAGCTGCCACTAGGGGTCTTTCGCGCTGCCTTGGATCCAAATGGGAGGCGCAAGCGGTGAGCATTTCACACTGAGGCAGTGTTGATGCTGCTCCTGTGCCACGGAACAAAGGATCCTAGGTCTTAGGGAGTGTGCCGTAAATATATATGCAACGCTTATGCGTACAGCTGGAGTCTCAGCTGCGTTCTGTACAAGCAGCTCGCCGTCAATTTGACTCCATGCCATACAGGGCCAGCAGACGCCCGGCCGACGTCCTGTTCAATTAGAATTGGAGCGACTGGAACATGAAGCGGAGTGTTTGAAAGACATAAGCCTTGAATTTTCGCCTCAACCGATAGACCCTAAATTGAGCAAAAAGTTGTAGAGCAGATGAAAGCAGAAGCAGATACTTGGCCTGCAGGTTAGTGGCAAATCTGCCACACAGCGACACATAACTGCGACTCCTTTGGACAGCAGTAGGAGCAAACTATACATGGAATTATGCTGTCTGCTTCCGCCGCTGCCGCCGCTGCTCCTGCTGTTGCTGAGGCACTTCTTGCTTCTGATCACCGTTTGAGTCGGCTTGTTGACTTTTCGCATCTGCCTCCTCTTGAAGTTCTGAGAAGTAAACACTCCCGAAGAGGCATCGTGTCAGGCAGAGACCCTGCAGTTGCTGCTGCAGCTGAAACGCGTCCGCTGAAGCAATGACAGTCCTATGCAGTCGTGGTTTTTGTCCCAAAGTGGGCTGCCCCCGCTCTTTCTGTTGATACTGGTGCTCTTTGGGGTCGTCCCCTGCTGCCTCAGTTGACGAGTCTGGGTCCTCTGATGCACGGGCGTCCATCAGCAGTTCTAGGTGGTCTTCCGCGTCTGCATGTGCTGTGTCTGCTGCGTGCGCCTTTACAGCCGTGCGCAGCAGCAGGTCATCCGCGGACACTCCTGTTCCCGGAAGCCTGACAAGTCCCAAGTGCTCGAGCGAGCAAAGAGCAACACCAAACCGCAGAAAAATGTGCTGCAGCAAAGACTTAGGACCTGCAATACCACCTGGGCATGAGACCTCCGCATCCTGCTGCAGCACAGCCAGCGCCTTTCTCTCCACAGAGTCAGCCTCTTCGCTGAGCCCTGCATTTGAGCCTTCCTCTTTCTTTGCAACTTTCTCAGCTCTCCGCCCCTTGCCCTTTGCTGCAATACACTTCTGTTGCTGCTTTTGCTGCTGCTTGTGGTGGTGAAGCCAATTCTGTTTATAAGCGCCAACTAAGTCGGTGCAAAAAAGACAAAAAAGCGACCACAAGGAAATGCGTCGGCTGCTGAAGGCAATACGGCGGTAGAGAAGCCCTGTATCATCAAGAGCGGCGTGCACTTGCTTGATCTCTCCCCTCCCTGCTGTTGGCACTGCGGCTTGCTGGTGATATTCCAACGCACTCCCACTGAGACATGCCAGCTCCTGTAGCACCTCAATAGGCTGCAGCGGCTGCAGACGGGCGAGAGTATCTGCCGCTCCTGCCTCTGCGCGATGTGTCGGAGACCGGGGAGCTGCGAGGGCAGCAGCAAAGAACTGCGGCTGTTCTGCTGCAGCAACAGACAACGACCACACCCCTAATTCGCAACCTAGTGGGTGCCACTGCAAGAGTGGCAGCAGACAATACAACAAGCATTCCCTGGCCCAGCTTTGGAAACGACCGCAAAGGCCGCTATCGCTGTTGCTGCTGCAAAGACCCTCCGTAGAAGACAATGGAATAGCTCTAGCGCGTCTTTTTAGCCCAGAAACGAACGCAGAAGGCGCGTTTTGTTGAGACTGCTGCTGTCGCTGCTGCTGGTCACATGTCAGCTGCAGGAGTTCCATGAGTTTGTTCATAATCCTGTGGAGTTCAGCAGCCTTTTTTATCCCATATACCCGCTGCTGCTGCTGGTGGTGCTGCATGCGTTCTTCTAGCTGCAGGAGCAGGGCCCATTCCCTCTTTGTTTGGCGGCAAAACTGCTGTAGCGCGAGTAGCAAAGCCTTCGGGACTGCGGCAACCCTTCGGGTTGTAGCAGCAGCATTTAGGGCTTCTGAGACAAGTGTTGTGACGAGACCCCCGACACGGCAACAAGCCCCAGCTATCCGCTTCACTTCCTCGCAGACTGCATAAGCACAGCAACAACACAGCAGCCACCACGTAGTGACAAAGACCACAAGGTGTTCAGGCATCACTTACACGTACTCTCCTCAGTGGCACCGAGCTTTATAGGATACACAAGGCAAGCATGCATGGTTCATGTGCAAATGAGGGCCCAAAGCTGCACACAAATACATGCCCAAAAAAACGCACTCAGGGAAACGACGTGAGCTGCTGCAGGAGCAGAAGTCAGCTGCTTTCCCTGCAGCAAATAGTCGTGGTAGCCAGGGGTCCTGCCGCTGCCACCTAGGATCTGCAGTAGCAGATTAACTGCAGGAAGAGTGCTGCTACTACTATCGAGGCTCTGAAGAGCAGCAGCAGTCTCGGATGCACTGAGAGCGAAGGCTTGGCGCTGTTGCATCACGTGTTGCTGCAGCACAACCAGTAGCCGCATGCCCAACCCTGCTGCTATGCGACGCTCCAGTACCTGCAGAGCTGCAGCCGGTAGCAACTCTCGCTGCAGCGCAGCGCGCCGCCGGTCTAAAGACTGCTTTTGATCTGCTGCCGCTGATGTACCCGCGCTGTCCCACCAGTACTGTAGCATTCCCAACGCCCGTTCAATGGGTGCACACGCTGGGGTTCTGTTGCACCCTTCCTGCTGCTGCTGCTGCGCCCGCCAGGAGCTGCAACAAGGAGATTCCAGTCTTGCTGTGGCTGTTGTGCGCAACTCCGCATGTAGGTGCTGAAATTTAGTTATTTGCTGCAGTAGGACCGTCTCCTGGTGCGGCGTCAGTACAGCAGCAGCCAACAGGGCTAGCCGCCACTCAAGAACTGCTAGCCTTGCTGCAGCGGATTGGTCACCAGATGCACCGTCAGCACCACCTTTTGCTGATGGAGTGCTCTCTTTGCTGCTGCCTATGATGCGGCTGCCTCTGTTGTTGCTGCTGCGGGTGTCAATGTTGGTATTGCTGGTGCTGGGGCTGCAGAGTGCAGCAGCGGCGACGCGAGCATCCAATGAAATGAAAGAAAAGGGATGATCTGCGAAAAACTTGTAAAGCATCATGCGCACTAACCGCAGCAGCTGCAGCACAGATGCCCCTTGGTCTAGAAGCAGCTGCTGCAGTTCCTCTATGGCTGCAGCTGGCAGGACAAACAGGGTGCTCGCCGGGCAGCACAGCAGTAACTGCAGGAGCGCATCGTGTACTGCAGACGGCCGCAGCAGAGCTGCAGCATCAATTTGCAGCATTCGCAAAGTTGAAGGCTCCAGCAGCTGCTGTATTGCTATAGCAGACGCAGCAGCCGACGCTAACACCACTACAGGGATTCCCTGCTGTGACCGTAGCAGTGACACCAGCAGCAGCACCTGAGAAAGGACGCGTGGGGCAAATGCCTCGAGCTCCTCCAACACAACAACTAGTACACTGTTATTGCTGCTGTTGCTTCTGCTTCTGTCTTCTTGAGCCCTGGTGGGTCTGTCGTCTGCTCCACCGTCTTCGGACGAGCTGTCGTCACTACTGCTGCCGCTGTTACCGGTCGCAGCTAAGTGCTGAGAGCGTGTTTTTACTGTGGATCCATCCCCCTTGCAGCGCGATATGCAGCAGAAGCCCCTGCTGTGTTGCTGTAATTGCTTTTGCCAGAGCTGCCCCAGTCTGCTGCTGATGTCGTGTCCCCAGTAAGCCCCCTCATCCTCTTCAGTTGCTGTAGCCTGAGCTGGGCCTGTGCCAGCGTTGTTGTCGTCACCTGTCATCCCCTCAAGACACCGCAGCAGTAGCAGCTGTTGCTGTTGCGCCCAAACGCCGTCAAATTCACCCCAAGCCGCAGCAGCCGCAGCATCAGCAGCAATCTCTTCTGCTACTGCTCCTGTTTCGCTTTCCACTTCCTTCTCCTGCCTGCTGCCATTCCCGCTGCGGCCAATACATGTACTGCAGCAGCTACTCGCCTTGAGCTGTCCGTACATTGTACGCAAGGCCGTTTGCGCATTCGTGCAACTGTTGGCCCTTAACACGACTTGCCTGAGAAACAGCTCATCTTTGCTGCTAGCGCTGCTGCTGCCGCGACTACCACGGCTACTGCGGCGACCCCCACAGCAGCACTTAGAGAGTTGCTGCAGCTGCAGCTGCAACATCCGAACAGCCAACCGGTGGTCCTCGACGTCTGCTCCCACATGCATTATGACCACAGGCAGAAACTCGCAGAGGCTACCGTTGTGCCTTCTGCTGGTAGTGCTGCTGCAACTGCTGATGTGGGGCTGCTGCAGCTCCAGGGCGCCTACAGCTGCATGGGTGCGCACTATTCGGCAGATGCCCTGTAACTGCTGCTGCATTGCTGCGGAGACCGCTGCTGCTGCTGCTAGCAGCAGCGCCTCCTGCTGCTCCTCTGCCCGTTTACACCGTAACAGAGTGGATGGAACCTCGGAAGCGGAGGCAGAAAAACCGTCGTATGGGTACCTGCCGAAGATAGCAGGCACAACAACGGGGGTCGGCAACTGGCCGCTGCTGTTGACGCCGCTGCTATTCGCTGTGGCGTCTTCTTCATCCTCACTACATTCTTCGAGAGCCTCCCTAAGCAGCTTGCTAACTAGGGGTTGCTGCAGATCCTGCTTGTGCTGCTGCTTGTGGCGGCGCTCCCTCAAAAACGGCGGTGAGCGCCCCGCAGCGGCAAGAAGAGGCGAAGGCTGCTGCTTCGGGGCCGTGACGGTGAAACAGCAGGTATCTACTTCTCCGTTTTCCTTGCGGATCCCATCCCCGTAGACAGCCCACGGTATGACGGGCATCTCGATCGTTGTTGTTGCTGCTGCTTATGTTGCTGCCTTCGCTGGTGCCGCGGCTGTGCTCAGAGCGCGGCGACGAGATGCCAAACGTAGAGGCCCTGCTCTCTCGGCAACGATACCCAGTGGTGACTGCAAGATCTCAAGCCACTGCTGCTGCTGCTGCTGCGTTGTGCGCTTCTTTGCACAGACAGCTAGCGCCAGGGGCCCTATTCCTGTGTGTAGCTGCACGCACGCCTGAGGACTTGGGCTCTAGGCTTTGGCAAAGATGTAAAATGCGGGGGAAAGAAAATGGAAACATCCCAAGAGCAAAGGGGCGCTCTGGATGTGGGATGCGCTCTGGTCATTTCGGTGGGGTTGTTGTCGGCGTGGCATGTGCTCGTTTCTGCATCTTTCTCAGCCTTAAACACTTACGAAATGTGCTTAGCAAGGTAATTAAAGTATATGTTCAGCAACTTACAACCATTATCAGACTACTTTTTCACTCAGACAAGCTCAACCACAACATTGGCGCTGAATGTAAGGGGGCCGCTGGGGCTTGCGCGGAGACCACCATCGAGCCACAAGCCCGGAACTTTATCCCTTAACACTCCGCGCCAATATCTAGATTGCACATTTAACTAGAATCTTCATGGCTTTTTCCCTAACCAGGGCTGCCTGCTGCTGGCTTACTGCTACCCTCAGCAGCCCAGAACAGCAAAAGGGGCCCCTGCCTTCTGCGCTGTATAGCGTTCACAAGGGCAACAGCAACAAGAGACTGCGAGAAACCTGTACTCAGTTTCTTCACATTTTGGGGGGTAGCAGCAGCGGCTGGAGCCCTAGCAACTCAAGTTGCGGCGCAAGCACCAGCGGCAATAGTATGAACCGCGGCAGAGACAGGAATAGCTGCAGAAGAAGCAAGAGAAACGGCGAAGAAACAGGTCCAGAAGAGTAGCCGCTAGACTTACAGCGTCACCTACGCTAGAAGCAGCTCCGGTTGCATGAGCAGCAGCAACAGCAGCATCTTCGAATCAGCCAAGAATCCATTCCAGCGCCAGCGCATTCGCATTGACACCAGCAGAATCTTCTGCTCGATTAGGCACAGCAAAAACAGCGACAACCTTTACACTGGTAGCGGCAAGAGCAGCAACAACAGCACCAGTACCAGCTCGCGGACCAGCAGCAGCAGCATATTACCCGTAATGATGACAACTCCTGAAGACATTGACGCGTTTTTCGATGCTCTTGTTGACGGTGTTGGCTTTCACGATGAGGAAACAGATAAGAGAGGCGATCAGCAGCAACAGCAAACAAGGATTGGTCCGGACACCACTGGAGCTCAGGCAGCACCTGCTGAAGCAGCTGCTGTTACAGAGCATGCTGCTGCAGTAGGGGATACGTCTCCAAGGCTGTCCGCGGCAAGCAAGGCGGCACGTGCAGCATCTGCGGCGGAAGTAGCACCAACAGCGGCAGCAACAGGAACAGCTCAGCAGCCAGTCTCCAGACCGCCCAACAGACCCCAGCAGCCGCAGCAGACTTCTCAACAGCAGCAACTTCAGGGAGCTGCGTTTTTGCGGGAGCCCCCAGAGCTGCGGCCTGAGCCTCCGTATCGCTACGAGCCGTACTTAAACACAGAAGAGGGACGGCAGCAGCAGGCGGCGGATGCACAGATGGAGACAGCCAATTTGTGTGCCTCTGTCTTCGCTGTCAGCCGGCTTATAGAAAGCAAACTTAAAGAAAACGAGCACATGTTGTTTGCAGTTCATGAAAATATGACGGTGAGAGCGTGAGAGCTGTCACTTTCTCACCATTCTTGCCTTCCACCGTGGCGTCTTTCTTTTCTTTTTGTCGTCCCTTTTGTTTTCGTCTGCATCTTCGACTCTCGCCTTTTGCCTCCGTTGAGTCGTGGCTTCTTGCTTCTACCCCGTTTTACCTCCGCGTTTCCTATCTGTGTCTATTCCCTCCTCTTACTTCTTCCCTACTGCTTTGGCTGCTTGCTGGTCACGACTGCCCGGGGCTTTTGTCCCGATCCTCACGCTCGTCTCGCAGCAGCTGCAGCTGCTGCACTTGCCGCTGCAGCTGCTACCGCAGCAGGAGGAAGGGCGTGTTCGGTGACCCCGGCCTTCTAGTTATCGCTCTTGCAGCAAACACATGCATCAGGATGTGTGTGTGCACTCACATGCGGCGCTTGGTGCACATGGAAACTGACAGCAGCGAATCAGAGCAAGTGGAACAAGCGAGTGAACAGCCGCAGATTCAGGAGCCTATCCTGCAGCAGCTGTTCATCTTCTAACCCTTCATGCTGATGCTGCTGCTGCTGCTGTCATTGTCGGTACGTTCGCTGCAACTGTTTTGCTCTCGCGTGCGCTTTGCCTGCAGGTTGGTCGCTACGGGGAAGCGCTTTGCTACTTTGAGCGTCTGCAGCAAAACCTTCTTTTTCTCGCAATGCTGGCAGATCAGCACGTGAGTGTGATTCTGGCGTTGCTCTTATTGCTGGTGTTACCGCTTTGGTTCCTTTTGTTGCTGCTTCACTGTACCTTTTGGTAGCCTTCGTGCTGCCGGTTCCATTGCTGTTGCTACTAGTATGGCTGCTACCCATTTTGTTTCTTATTGCCAGATTGGTGCTTGTGCTGGTGGTTGTTATCTTGACGAGATGCTGCCAGTGAACCTGCAGCAAGTTTTGAATCAATGGCACACGCGCAGTGGTTGTCCTAGGCACGGAAAAAGCAGTGCCTGCTAGGCCCCGACGTCCGTACACGAGCACGCTGCATGCTTATTTCATGCTTGCGTATGCGGTGTTATGTACAGCGCGGAGGCCCGACTGAAGGGTCCACTGAGGCGCAACAGCAAGCGTTCTACGCCAACAGGGACTTCTGGAGCCATGAGGAGCTGCAGCGCCTGCACCATGCCCTCCGAACCCCAGGACAAGGTACACAGCGTCAGACACTGCAGGGGCAGAGGCACTGCCAACACGCAGTAGCAACTGTAGCAGTAACTGCTGCTAGTGAAACCCACCCTTTTTGACGGACCCGCGTTTGCCTGCTGCAGTAGGTCTCTCGATTGAAAGCATGCCTCTCAGAGACCTTGACTGCTCCGGCAACAGGATTTGGGCTACTGCCCATTCTTGTGTTTGTGTTTGCTGCCGTCGGCTCAGATTTGCAACAGCTTGCTTCTGCAGTGGGCAGCAAGAACTCTGCGCAGATTCTCTCTTACCTATCACACGCAGCAGATCGGCATATGATGCACCGGGCGGCTGCGGGGCCAGCTGTGGGAGCTGCTGCTACTGGTCTTGTTGCGCAGAGCGCTAGTTGTACTACAGCAGGTGGAACCACAGCAGCTATTGGTGCCTCTCCTGGGCCTGTCCCCGCACTTGGTGAGTTTTCAAGCGTTTGTCTCTGACGTGCCGTCCTGGTATTGCTTCGCCCTCACTACGGAAACAGATTTTGCCGCTTCTCCTGCTGCTGCTGTTACATAGAGCTCTAGCCTGTTCGTCGACATCAGCTGCTTTTGAGCTGCATCTGTCCAGAACCGCTCGCTTTTTTACGGACCTTGGGTGCCGCTTTTGCTTTTGTTGTTTCTGCTTTCTTGCCCAGTAATTTCAAATTCTCAGATAGACTCGGTCACATGACCGACAGGCAATCGACGCACAGTATGTCCATGTGATTACTGCTGCAGGGACTCTAGCACCAAATGCTGCTGCGCGAACGGCACCGCCGGCACAGGAAGTGCGTAAGCAAGACGAGAAACAGCAGCAAACGCTGAAGCAGCAGCAGCAGCAGCAGAATGCGCAGCAGCAGCAACAACAAATGCAGCAACAGCAGCAACAACTACAGCAGCAACAGCAGCAACAAATACAACAGCAACAACAAATACAGCAGCAGCAACAGCAATTACAGCAGCAACAACAACAGCAACAAATGCAGCAGCAGCAACAACAAATACAGCAGCAGTTGCAGCAGCAGCAGCATATGCAGCCCCAACATATGCAGCACCATTCACAGCAGCAAGTCCCGCAGGTAATGCATATACGGGAGCAGCCAAGACTACAGCAGTTTCAGCAACAGCAGCAACCTGGTACAGTAGCTGCAGGTGTTCATGCCCTCCCAATGGTTCAGCAGGGGACGCTTCTAGGGGCGCCCCTGCTGCTGCAGCAACCCACACTGTCGGGACAGCCGCTGCAGCAGCAACAGGCAGCAGCAGCCGCTGTGGCACAAAGCGATTCAGTGGTACAAGGCTCCGGCCTCGCTCGCTCACTGCCTGTTTCTCAGCAGGATTTGTTGCAACAGCATCTGCTACAGCAGCAACAGCTACTGCAACAGTTGCCCATGCAACCGCAACAGTTGTCCATGCAGCCCCAACAGCTGCTCCAGCAGCCGCAGCAGCAGCAAGTGCCGCTGCAGCAGCTGCAGCCATCGCAACAACTAGCTGGCCAGCAGCCTGCGCATTTCCCATTTCTACAGAAGAGGTCATAGACCACCTCTCACGCATATTCTGTACAAGTGCATTTTTGGTATTGTAGGGTTGGGTCTCACTTGCTGCCGTTGATCTTGTTTCCTCTCAATACACCTCATTTGTCCCCTGCCTGTCTCCTTGTTCCTGTATCTGTGTTTTGAATTTGTGTTTCTTCTTAGCCTTGTCTTGGTTTCTGCCCCTTTTTTGTCCCTGTGTCTGGTTCTGTCTGGCGCGATCTTATTGAGAGCTTTCGCTCAGCGACCTGTCCTCGGAAATATCATGTTTGGCTGCATGTAATTATAGTTGCAATTACAAAATTAGTGTCCCTGCATCTGCGGTTGCTCTCTGCATAGCCAGTTTTCTTCTTCCTAATGTGTGTACCCCCACAATGCGTGCTCCAGAAGAGCGTTTCTGGCAGCCAAATCGAAGCTGCTGTCCACCTACAAGTGCGAGATCTAGAGTTTAGAGGGAGGATATTAGCTGAGGCGCATTGAAGGTTTACGCGCCTCACATGAACTTGTGCTTTTGTGCTTTTTCACGTTTTCTAGCTGGCACAAAGCGCAGAAGTGCAACTGCAGGAGGCGCTGTGCATCTCGTTGGAAAGTCGCCACTGCACGAGGTGCTGCGCATCTAGTTGCTGCTTTCTGATTCCTTCTGTGGCTGCACTCTTCTGCTTCTCTGCTTTTTTCTGTCGCGCTGGCTGCTCCTCTTTCCGCGGTCATATCTGTTTCCATCTGATTCTGAGTGCGCTCACATTTCTTTGTCAGCAAGCCCCCCTCTTCATTTCTTTGTCTGTTTCTATCCTCGTAGCAATTCGCTTGGCTGCTTTATCCCTACTTGACTGTGTTCTGTTCTGTCGTATTTATCTATTCCGTCCGGATGTGCTGTGTATAAGAATAGGCTTAAAGAACACCGAGAAGAACTCAGGCCAACGGGGGACAAAAGCAGACAAAAAGAGAGATAAATTGCAAAGAGCGACAGTTAAAAAGACAAAGAGAGGCTAAAAGACAGCCAGGCACCCCTTAAGGCTTCAGGGGCCGCTGCGTCCGCGACGCAGGTGGCGCAAATATCTCACAGACCTTTGAGAGGAAGCGACTATGCGGTTTAGGCTCGGGCAAGGGCTGCTGAGAGCCACATTGCTGCTGCTGCTCTTGCTGCTGCTGTTGCTGCGGTGACGGCGGCTGGTGCTGTTGACGGTTCTTCGTCTGTTGCTGGGGCTGCTGCTGCTGCTTATTGTGGTCGGGCGGCTGAAGCGTATCTTGCTGAGGCTTCTGTTTGTTGGCCAGTGGACTTGTTTGTGGCTGCGCACAGCATGCAGCAGCTGAAGGGGGACAAGGACCCTGTGATGTGGGCTGCGCCGCGGGCGACGAGGCCCTGGTGGTACTGTTAGGAGCCTTGGGGTCCGGGTGTCCCTCGCCTCCGTGTTGTTTTGGTGTTCTGCTGCTGCTGCTGTCACTGCGAGAGTGAGACGGGGTTATGCCCACCCCATAGTCGGCGGGGGCCGTTAGCCTGCAAACAGACATTACACACTGTGGAAGCTATTGGCAGAGGAGACGGGAATAAAAGTAATTGAAAAAGACATACAAACACAAATGCACACAGACAAGCCGAAAATGTGAAGTAAGAGAAGCTGAGGCGCAGAGTAACACAAAGAAAAAAAATCAAAGTAACGACGTATGCATGCCTCTATCCACGCATGCATACAGTTGATCAATCACGGGCATACGCCTGCAGTGGAAGCATAATGAGCAGTAGCAAAAGCCAAGACAACAGTGGCAGCAGAAGCAGCTGGGGCACAAGCAGCAACAGCAGCAGCGGCAGCAGACATTACCAGGGGCTGGATAGCACTTGCTCCGCCTTGAGTCTGCCCTCAGGGTTTAAAAACAAGAGGCCCTGCAGCAGCGCCTTCACTTCAGCGCTGAGGGACTGAGACACCACGTACTCCCCGGCTGCTATGTTTGCGTAAAGCTCTCTGTAGTGAAAACAATAAACAACCAGGCTGGTACGTCTTTAAGCAGCCCTGCCCCGTCTTTGGTCTTATTTCCTTTTTCCCATCGCCCCTTCCCACAGCTTCAAAGTTCCTGTTCACCGGATAAGGTGGCGAACACTTACTCGGGCTTCTGGCCTTTGAAGGGGTAACAGCCGTGTAGCATGGCGTACAGCACCACCCCCAAAGACCACATATCAGCTGCGGGACCCTCATATTCTTTCTTTTTCAATATTTCTGGTGGCATATACGACGGAGTCCCACATGCCATACGGCACTTGACCCCAGGCCTCAGCAAACTTGCAAATCCAAAATCGATCAGACGCACTCGCCCTAAAACAGCCGTGTTGACAGCAAAAGCGGAAGCAACGGCAGTGTAGTAATAGTAATTGTACTCAAACAGATCCATTCACACCTTTGGCTTTATCATCAGCCGCACACTCCAGTTAGTCAGCTAGTTGAACAGCTTGAAAACCACCTAAGCTAACTAGGTGCCTAGCTATGGCTAGTGGTTAGCTGTGTAGGCCGCTTTTGAGGCTTCAGGTGCTCTTCCTGCGAGTCTGTGGGCAATTAATGGGTAAGATAGACATGTGTGGGCCTCTTCAAAAGATAATGTTCGTGGTGAAGAAGAAAGTGAGGAGATAAGATAAGGTGGAAGAGGGACAAAGACAGACGCAAAGGCGAAGTCAGTCTGTGGGGGATTAGTGAGAGATACGTCGAGACAAAGGCTGAGCAGGAGAGATACAGGCAAAGAGAAGCAAAGACACGCCTAAGCAAGCAAGAGTGCAGGCCGCCACCGCCAAGCGTAATCTGCATGCTTCCTACCTCTATCATCCAGCAGCATGTTCTCTAGCTTCAAGTCCCTGTGGACAACGCTTTGGGAGTGGAGGTAGGCTACGCCCCTCGCGACATCAAGAAAGAGCTTGCGGGCGCTGGCCTCTGAGAGTTTGCCCTTGGGGTTGCTGCGAACGAGGCCGTAGAGGGAGCCCCCACTGAGGTGCTGCATGACTATGTACAGCGCCTGGCTTTCGTTGAAGCTGCCCCCGTACTTGACAATGTTCTCATGCTGCAACTTCCGCATTATCTGCACCTCTCGAGTTATCAGCGCGCGCTTTTCCCGCTCCATCTGACGAAAGCCTTCGTAGATCTTCACAGCCACAGATTTACCGGTAGCCTACAAAAGCAAGCAAATCATATACAGTGTATACAAGCTCGCCCGCCTGCATGCGTGCTCCCCTGCACGGATTAAGGGTTCAGGGTAGGCGAGGGAAGATGTGGGGTGTATATGGATCGTCTTCCCCTCCTTACAGTTCAGCTGTGTTTATGCTGCTCGCACATAGTTGCATACAGTTCATGTATGTGCACATATGCACGTATAGATGCAGTCGCATTCTAATATCGTCAGTATAACTGTGCTTGCATTCTGACATATTACCTATTGGGCACCTGTGTATGTGTTTGCACAGAACTTAGAATGCGTACAAACACAATGGATATATGGGTGAGCGCTATTCTTTACTACTGAGCGGAGGCGACACGTTTAGAATGTTCTGGCCTTTGCATATACTAGACTGCTGTGAATGCATGGAAGCTCATGCGCCGGTGCCAGTGTCTTTTCTGGGTTTGTCTTTGCTTGCTTGCTTGTTCGCTTGTTTGCTTGTATCTCTGCGTGCCGTGTTTTTTGCTCTCTATTTCTCCTTCTCTTTGTAATTGAGGCTCTTCTCCTGCTTTGATACCTTTATTTAAGCCGGTCCTTCTTTAACGCTGAAAACTTGTGAGTGAGTTGTTCCCGTTTATGTGCAAGCAGGTGCAGAGAAAACCGATATACACAATAGGCATACAACTCATGCACGAATGTGGATACTTGCGGGGACAGTTACGTTTGTCTTATTTATTTACTGTTTACTTTATGCACAGCAAGGTGCACAGGTGCATAGGCTCCCTTGCCTAGCACGGGCCCCAAAGCAAAGCTGTCGGCAAATTTATTTCTCTGGGATTCCCCTGGACTTCCGTTCTGCAATAAGTACAATACGCCAAATGAGAAGAGTTCGGGTTCTTGTGAGGGCCGGGTACGGGGGTACGCTAATAGAAGTGAAGCGAGTAAGCGCATGTTTGTCTAGAGGCTGCCACATACTATTTAGTGTTCCCTTTCAGATTTAGCTTTTTTCGGCAGGCGTATTTTTGTGCAAAGATGAGTATGCCTATACATATTCAGACGCGGCACTTTCGTGGACACCGCAGACTGCACATTCACATATGTTGCTACTCGCTTCCGTAAAATATGAATATACGGCTATAAAACCACAAAAGTAAGTACCAATATGCATATGCGAGTAAATATTTGTTTACTTTAGTTGTTCGACTGATTCAAGAGATACGGCGAAAATAACAATAAGCAAGTGCGGAAAGACAACACGAGGAAGGAGAAAGAGAGGCAGGGATGCCAAGGGAACTTGAGGCAGCCCGAAACAAGTTAAGCACTGGAAAAGAGAGACAAAAGGCGAATATCGCTGGCAAAACAAAGACAAGCACCAGGAAAGACACCATGTGTCATTTAAAGCGGCTCACAAGGGTTAAGTTCGCTTGTGGTATTGTTTTCGCTCCGTCTGCCTTATTTGTTTTTGAATTCATGTCCAGAGGGGGTTGAGGGGGTAAGAACAGCTCCTTTTCATCAGACAAGCTCCTCAGCACCGGCGGGCGGTTTCCAGAGGCCCCAGGGGCCCCTGAGACTCCGCCCTTCTCTTCGGCAGGACTGCGCAAAGTAAACTTCAACGACCCCTACGTTGTAGCCGCGTTTTTCCCGACGCACTTTACGTATCAAGAAAACCTTAAGTTTTAATCCTAGCCCCAAAGCCCTCAATTATACAGTTCTATTTCGGCCTTTTCCAAGGCAAAGCTGAAGAAGAAGAAGTGTGAGAGGAGCAAGAACACCAGCTAGACTGCAGCTGCAGCTGCTGCACTCTCGTCGCTGCAGCTACTGGTGCTGCTGTGTGTGCACAGAATGGCACTGAAACTCGCGGGGCTCGCTGCATGCTGTTCCTTTGCTGTTATTTCTTCTTATCTTTGAGTGCCAACCTGTATTCGCTTCCATGCGGGCGCAGTCACTTCACTATCTGGAAAGGCAAGTGACTAGAACTACTGCAAGCTGTGCTGGTTAGGGAGAGCTTCCGTCCGCCTTTCTTTGCAGTATTGCATACACGCTGCACTAAATTTGTCCTCCTATATTGCAGCTATGCTTTTTCTGTTGGGAGTGGTGCGTGACAACAGTGCAAAAGCAGCTCGCGCTCACCGGCGGTCTGGAGGAGCCGGAGGCACTTCCTCCGGGTCATTCTGAAGGACGGAAAAAGCATATATGCATCAGTGCTCTGTGTGCTCAGGGGTACGTACAGCTGCGCACCATGAAAGGAACTACAAACACACATATCTGTATCTACAGGTATGCGGCTTGGTGTGTGCGAAGCGATGGCGAGTAGTCAGCAAGCAGCAGCTCGACACGGCCATCTTGGTAAGCTGCACTGTATACATATAGAAATAATCCAACTAATTGATTGTAGCACTCGCTTCCGTAGGACCAGCCGCCGCTCCAGGCGCCAGCATAGCCCATCCCAGGGTCACCACGCGGACCCGCGGCAGCCCCAGGCAGACGCTGTCGAGAGGGAGCGAACGGAAACCCCACGTGAAAGTACCGAAGTAACTAATTGAAATATGTGTTGATGTCACTGTATTTATTTTTTTCAAAAGGGTATACCCTTCTCTAGCCCAGCGAGCTCCCCTTGACTGCCCCCACAGAGCAGCCAAGGCAGTAGCAAGTTCGTGGCCTGTTGCGACATCCAGTGTGTGTGATAGCTCTAAAAACCAGAGGGATGTACTTCGTTCTACTGCGATTACCATTGTAATTTGAAAAAGCAAGAAAAAGGGGTGAGAATGTGGGCCCCTGAGCTTCCACGCTCGCCACCTGGCACGAGCAGGCTTCGTGCCGCGTGCTGCTCTTTGGCGCTCCGCGTTTGGGTGCTCTTTTAGTTCTCTAGTTTGCGATATTTGGGGCCCTAAATAAAAGGCACTAAGTATTTCTGACATTCCCCTCCCTCGGGCCCTGTACGTACATGCAGGTGCATGCACGCTGGAACCTGCCACAGCTGCGCATGCACATTCCCGCCGCCATCGTTCTTTCTGGCTGTTGCCTTCCTCAAAGAATGAAAAAAATGTAGTAATGATACTGAATGGAAAATTTAGTCACGGTGTAGTGCTCCGTATATGGCACTAAATATGCATAACTTGCCTTCCCAGCTTCAACATGAAATTGAATACGGACGTGAACAACCCTTGTGGATGCGGCCAAAGAAAGTGACAGGAAAAGAAACGTCTACATGAAGCTGTATACAAAGGCTGTGAGGTACACTTTCGCCGCACGCTTTATAGCCAGTCTGTGCACAGCTAACAATGACCAGGAAGCTCATTATTGAGGCCTAAACGCCCTAGAAAAATTTAAGCTTTAGTGAAACCGCACTTGAACATTGAATGATATACACAGGCCCGAAAAGAAGAATGCTATATAAGAGGCAAACGCATTTGCCGAAAAGCATGTCTCTACGCTGTGAATGGACTATCGAGAACTTTGTCTATCGGGAATTCTGTACTTTACCTTCAGCACACATACTCATCACTTTCATGGGCGACCTGAAAAAGCAAGATCGGCAGTAAAGGCATATTACCTAACCTCCTCTTTATCTCAGCGCAGCTCTCGGGTCGAAGAACTTTCGGTTCACCTGTTTCTTCTAACACAAGGAGACACTGCTATGCCCGAACCAAGCTTCCACAACACTCCACAGCCGGTGTATCCTTTTGCACTGCGCATACTTGAAATGCATGAATGCGCACCCCGTGCAACCTGAACTCGACCCTGCTCTTCAAAAGAGAAAATCAATAGAAAGCTGCCGAGAGCAGATGACACAAAATACGAGCTGTTAGAGCAACTCGTGCCACGGTTTCCCATTTGCGGCCCTAGATTCACGCATACAATGTTCATGTAGGTATCTTTATACGTGCCTCACATACCTTTCCACACGTCCATACATATATTAACACAAGTGTGTTACATGCTTATACATTTATTCACGCACATATTTAGAGTCATATCCACGCTATCAATAGCATTTCGTGTGTAGAAGAAAAGCAGACGCATCCCGTGCATCAGTTAAGTTATCAGTGGACAAAAAGACCCACAGGTAAAAGTAAAAGAACAGGAAAAGCAGGCTTAGTACAATCGGGAAAGTCTTGGGCAATCGTACGTGTTAACAAAATCACCCACAGTAAATACTCATACTCCCTCCAGGCACTTCCATTTTAACATTCATATTCAGACTCTGTTTCTGAGGCTTTTCTCCGATGCACTCATGCGGATCCTCTGTGCACAAGAAAGTTCAATATTGCCACTGTATACACGAATGTACATCTCCGCATTCAGAAAGTGATGTACTTGCTATTTAATCTACTCCCTTACCCAGATATCCTAGAATTAACACAATGGTGCAATTGTGTTCCACGGATGCGCATGTGCCCCGCGTAATGGTAGCTGAGGTGCACTGATAAGTGCAACAGAAAATGTACAATAATAACCGTATCAGCTACATCTAGATGCGCTCAATATGTATATGCATTCGCCGCTGCGAAAAATCTTCGCAAAGCTGTCACGTCACTATTCAGTAACTGCTGCTCAATCGTTCGACCTACACAGTAGACTCGTGATTTCATAATAGACGAAGTCATTCAAAACTACGCCATCCAAGACTAAATCAAACTAAAAAGGGCAAATTGTTTGGCTGCTTACGAACGTAGATACGGCCACAGACACTACCACGGCCCCCACTTCAGCTAACTCAAGAACACAGTTTGGGAAGCACCTGCAGTCTGCAGTCCTCACAACACGGGCTACACACAAAAGATTTATAATTAATAAAAGTAGAAAGACGCATTTGCACCGATACGCATATATACACGCACACAAGTACCTCGACAGATCTTTATTTGCAAGACATTTGATACGCACATACTGCTGCTGGAAACAACTTAATGCTGCTACCCTGTCGTACCCAGCGAGCGACAGAAAAAAGAAAAAACAGTAGAAGAACTTAGAGCAGTAGAGTTCACTTGTAGAAATAAATAGTGCAAATATGCAGTCGGCATCCGCCCTCCTTTGTTTTCGTGTTCATTTGTTTCCGGCTTGATCATCTATTCATCCCTTGTCTTCCTCTTCCACAAGCATATCCAATACAAAAGGGGCTACTGCCAGCCCTAGTGCGGCTGCCAACAGCTCTCATGGGTGCAACTGCTTGCGTCCTACTATAGCATGGATTTGCTCGCATGCAGACAGTCGCATGCATGCAGCAGCACAGGTGGATTCTTGCATGCATTCCGCCGCATGCAGTGGCCGCATATATGCATGCATGTTTGCCGCGCATGCATTTTGCATGCCAGAGACATATGCACGCATACATGCATGCACGCCGGCCATACACCCGAAGCCACTCATGCATACCCCTCTGCGCACGCATCTAGCAGCAGCGCCTGCTGCTGCACTCTCGGCACCAGCCGCTGCAGCAGCAGCAGGAAATTCCCCACTGGGGCTGTGCAAAATAGCAGCCTACAGCTGAGGGCCCCACAGGCAGCGGCCGACTGTCGCAATCCAACCAAACCCTTTCCCGGTGTATTCGTCATTTCCTTGCAGCCGCTGCTGCTGCTGCTGCTGCAATCTGGACTTGCTTTCAAATGGACCTCCCAGTGTCTGCGTGCACGCAGCAGCTGCGTGCTACTACTGCCGCTGCTTGCCGCTATGTTTGCCGCTGCGCCTTTCCGGCACTGTCGCAGCCTTCGCAGCCTGCTTCGCAGCCGCCTCCGATGCAGCACCCTCACGGACAGCAGCTGCGGCAGCAGCCGCAGCAGCATGCGGTGGGGCTCGCCTAATATATCCAACCTCGCACCTGCTTTAGGCCTCGTCCTCCCCCTCATCCTCCTCCTCCTCCTCATCCTCCACTGGAAACAGCTTGGTGCGGAATCCCATGAAGACGCTGGCGGCGAGCAGCAGCAGGGCCAGTGACAGGTACTTGCCCATTGCTAGCTGGCCTGATGCTGCTGAGCCCCCAGGGCGCATGCTGCGCTTTGTAGTGTACAGGCGCTTCGTCGTGCGCGGGCGATCGCCGCCGCGGCGGCTGCTGCTGTCGTCTACGAAGTCATCCTCATCGTGGGCTTCATCCAGGCCAGCTGCGGCTGCTGCTACTGGTGCTGCTGCTTCTTCTGGCGCTGTCTCTTCTTCATCACCCCCTGCTACTGCTACGGGGTCTGCAAGACCACCTGCGCCCGACAGAGCCACATCTGCATCCTGCAGCTGGGGCAGCGGCGAGGACTCCGGAGAGTGCTCGATTGCTGCCGCTACATCGTTGCTGCTAAAGGCCAGCAGCAGCAAGAGAAGCAAACAAGGTGCCGCAGTTGCTGCCGCCGAACAAACCATCCTTCTCACTGGCCTAGGGGGAGAGGGGGCCGGAGGTACCAGCGGCGCTTTAGCCGGCAATGAAGCAAAATAGATGCGCTAAGTTAAGCCTCAAAACAACTGATATTGAAGGGATAACTGAAGGCCGCCAGCAAGAACAGGAAGAATAGGGGATCCTGGGTCGCCCGACGAGCAGCAGTAGCAGTAGCAACAGCACCTCCTCGATGCAATGAAGAAACAACGGTTGCAAGCCGAGAAAGAAGAACCAATAGGGCTCAAAGATTAAAATAAAGCTCTACTAACATAGCCTAAAGTTTAGAAGCCATTATAAGCAAACAAAGAGTAGTAAGCGAGCGGCTGCTTCCCCGGAGTCTCACCATCCCCACTCCTCCGGCTGTTGCTGCAGCAACGCCTGCTGCATGCGGCTGTAGGTGAGCGACGGCTGACCCTAAACTCAAAACCCTGCCCCATTAACTCTAATTTGTTGAATTTATTTCAAATTACAGGAAACAAGAGCTCTGGATTTCAGTCTAGGCAGCAGATACAGCTGCTTTAGCGTACGCCGCACACAGCCCCTGCCTTCGCTCAGTAGCAACCAGGAGCTGCTCGCTGCTTCTGACGGCAGCAGCAGAAGTAGTCGGTCTTATTAGGTGCAAAAGTATTTATTGAGCCTGCTAATTTCTTTCAAAGCAAACTAATCCGCATTTTATTGTACATCCAGTGTACACGCCCAGCAGCTGCGGCGCAGCGGCGAGGAGCGGCTGCAGCGGCGAAAAAAGTGCAGTAGCACAACTTAAACACAAAAGATGCATTAAGCGCAGCTAATTCATATATTTCCCTGGTTAATGCATTTGCGCATGCAGTGAGGCAACCCTTGCCATCGTACGCATGCACCATGGTTGTGTGCAGCTTTTAAGTGCCTGTCTAGAGAACCACTGCGCAACTTTACACACATGTCTGCAAAAACCTGCACGAATTTACTTACGGCAAAGTTCTAAATGTTTAGACATATGGAGTTTGCGACCGGAGAGCGAAGCAGCTGACTGTTTTTCCCACTCATTGTTCACGAAAGTTACACACTTAGTATATATTGTCAAGAGCCACCTTTTTTTACATTAAACGGGCGAACGGCTGGAAGTTGAGTAGGTCCCGGTATTACTACAACTTCTACTGCGGCTGCATGCAAGGTGTACTGCAGAATGCGACGGCGCAGCACACAAGATGCGCTGCTCTTGCTGCTGCACCTGGTGCTGCTGCTGTTCCTGCAGCAGCAGCAACCAGCTTCGGGGAGCGAGCAGGAGACTACGTTAGCAGCAGCTACAGGTAAGGGAACAGGGCTTGCATGTGGCGCCAGTGGTACAGGGAAACAAGAAACCTAGTTGTAGTGAAAATCATTTGCTTTTATCATTACATCTGAAGGAACTACGTACAAAAAGACGGGGATAGATAGAGATTGAAAAGGACAAAAATAAGGGATGCAAACACACAAGTGTAGGACTTAGACAAGAAAGAATAAAGTAGAGAGAAGGGCGCCAAAGTAGTTAGAGAATTAGACCGAGACAAAAAGTGAAATGCGCTAAAATAGTAGGAAAAAGGGCTGACAGCATAAGACAAAAAAAGTAAAAAAAGAAACGCAGAAGCAAAAAGGAGCTGCGAGGGTGCACACAAACAGGGAAAAGACACACACGTGAAGGAAAGAGATCAGCAAGAAATGACAGAGAAAAAAGGAGATAAAGAAGAAAGCACTAGCGACAGAGACAAAAAACAGAAAAATAAGGTAACACTAGCGGCAGGTATCGCCTAAGGAACTCTTCTCTATGCAAAGACAGAAACAGCTTGACGGCATCACTGTGGAGATTAGACACACACACACACATACAAAGATATGAGAACGAACATAAACGTCTGGAAAGAATGGAGAAAGCGAATAGGAAAGCAGTTTATTCTTCAAACTGAGGGACGAAAGGGTGTCCTTTACCACTCGTTTTCCCCGGTCATAGGCCTCCTTGCAGCTGCTGCTGCTGCTGCTAGCGGTGCTGTTACTGCTGCAACTGTTGCTGCTGCTGGTCCTGCAGGCGCTTTCGGGAAAGCTGAAACCGCACCGTTTGCGGCCGATTTGGCAGTGACAGAAGAACCAGAAAAAATGAATGGAGACGAAGATAGAGAAACAGAACCAGCTCCTCAAGCCACGCAGGACCCTTTAGATAAACAAGACAGCCAGAACCAACACAACAGCAACAGCAGCAACAGCAGCAGCAGCATTAGCCAAACACCAGAGCACCACTCTGAAGGGCCTGGTAGTCCAGCAGAAAATCCGCGAGTAACAGTGGGAGGAGACCCAGAAACACCAGCAGCAGCAGAATTGGCAGTTGACTCAGAAGCAGCAGCAGCAACAGCAGAATTGGCAGTAGATCCAGAGCCAGTAACAGCGGCAGCAGCAGAATCAGCACCAGACGTAGAGCCAGTAACAGCACCAACAGCAAAATTAGCAGCAGACCCAGATCCAGTAACCGCAGCAGCGGCAGAGTTGGTAGCAGACCCAATGCCACTAACCGCGGCAACAGCAGAACTGGCAGCAGACCCAGTGCCAGTAACTGCAGCAACAGCAAAACTGGCAGCAGACCCAATGCCAGTAACCGCAGCAACAGCAGAATTGGCAGCAGACCCAGAAGCAATTACGGCAGCAGCAGAATTCGCACAAGACCCTAAACCATTACCGTCGGAAACATCACCCCCAGAAACTGCTGTATCAGCAGTGGAAACCGCAGTAGCAACGGGAGCAGCAGAAAATGCAAAATCTGCTGGGAACGCAGCAGCAGGCGGCAAGCAGGATAACCAACCCCTGGCTTTACCAACCGCAGAAGAAAAGACCGAAGAAAAAACGGTCAAAGAAGTGTTCGAGGGCAGCTGCTTCGTGTTCAACAAGCGTTTAAGGGGTGCAGCAGCAGCATCCAGTTCCAAAACAACTGCCAAGGAGTGCCAGGCCCAATGCGCCTCCCTGCCGGGGTGCGCTTACTTTTCCTATGCGCTGTCTAGCTCTTCTCCTCCCTTTGTAGCTCTTTGTGAACATTACATAGCCACAGAGAAACAAGACGAAACCACAACCCTCTCTCTCTACTCCCACAGGGGGGCCCTCACAGCGCAAGTCAATTGTAGGGTCCCAGGGGAGCTCCAGTATTTGGGGCACCACAAGGCAAGTTCTCACGCACCCGCAGCAGCATATACAACAAGAGAAGCAGCTAGAGGCAACAAACAGTCAGCGGGCAAGACTGGGGGCTCATCGATATCTATGGGCCCCCACACATCCTCCGCTGCCTCGCCTGCTGGCTCCCCAAGGAGGGCTCCTAGAGGGCCCCCGCTAGGGCGATCGGGCCCCCCCGCAAGACTGGCGCACCGGGCCCAGCAGTGCTCCGACTCATACAGCCTGCAGGACACGTATATGGGCGACGATTTCCTGAACCTTGCGAAATTTTTCTTTTTTGAGTGGGGGGACCCGACTGGTGGCACTGTGCAATATGTGGGACAGGCAGATGCTCAAAAATACAATTTAATCAAGGTAATGAGCAACGGGAGAATACAAATATTGGCGGACACCACGGAGACCTTAGGGGACGGGCAGGGGAGGAAGTCGATCAGGTTGACCTCACAGAAGGGTTGGGACGACGTAAGAATAGCATAAGGGGCTGCTAATGTCTTTCTCTTTCTGTATTGCGCCTTCACTGCTTTAAGTTGTCTCTCTGTTGAATGTGATTTTCCTGTTTCTCTATCTCTTTGTATGTTACGCTTTCACTGCTTTAAGCTGCCCCTGTGTTTAATATCGTTTTTCTTTCTCTATCGCAGCTTCTCCGTGCCTTTCCCTTGTCTTCCCGTTTCGTTACCGTTGTTTCTTCTGTGTCTCCATCACACAGACTCATTTGTACCTGCAGTACGCATGCAGGCGCAAACACAAGGGTTCCTGCTTCTGCTGCTGCTGCTGCCGCGGCGGCTGCTGCTGTTCAGGCTTTGTGGGTGTTGGACTTGAACCACATGCCAACTGGGTGCGGCACCTGGCCTGCGTTCTGGACAGTGGGGTGGGAGCCGTGGCCAGATACGGGAGAGATCGACATAATAGAAGGGGCCAATCTGCAAGACCACGCACACTCCGCCTTGCACACAAAAGAGGGCTGCGTGATGCCCGCAGATACCAGCAATTTCAACGGCGCCTGGAGCCAAACCGCCAGCGGTCCCGCCTTGAACTGCTGGAACTTGGCAACTCCAGACAACACGGGATGTTCCATAGAGTCTTACGAGGACGCCTACGGGGCGCCCCTGAACAACAAGGGGGGTGGCTACTACGTGATGCAGCTGCACCACGCCAAGTACATCCGCATCTGGTTTTTCACTCGCCAAGAGGCACCTGCGGACCTGACTAGTGGACAGCCCACGCCGGACTTTTGGACCAAGAAGCCCCTTGCGTACTTCACCTTCGGCTCCAACTGCGACGGCTATGAGTACTTCAAGGAGCAGCGCATAGTCATTAACACCACCTTCTGCGGGGGCTACTCCGGCTACAACTTCACGACGGCCAACGGCTGTCCTGGCAACGGCCTTGCGGACTGCGAAAACTATGTCCGCAAGAACCCGGGCCAGTTCACGCAAGCTTACTGGGACATCAACTCCATCGAGGTCTACAAGAGGGCGGGGCAGCAGTGCCAGACAGTCACTGACACCACCACCCAGTCCACCAGCACTTCGTCTTCGTGTAAGTGTAGCACACCCAGCTCTCCCCGTGGGGCTAAGGTGGTTTGCAGGCAGCAGCAGCGGCCGGAACTGCTGCTGCTAGGCGTCAGAATGTAGAGAAGGGGAACAATAGATCTTGAGCTTGGGCTAGGCAGCGGCAGCAGCCCACCTCTGCGAGAACTCTGCTTCTGTTCGTGTTTGTCTTCATGTAATTTTGGCTGCAAGACAAATGACAGGGCCACAGCTCACGCATGATGCCAAATGCAGGGCGACTTAAATTGTGGCTTGCAACTAAATCTGTGGACATGCTCGTACAATCTGCCTTGCCGTGTACTTTTCTTTCTCCCTTTCCTGTTTTTCTTCGTCTTTCTATTTGCTTCATTCTGTCTCATTTACATGCATATTTACGTGTTCGGTTTGTCTCTGTCGGCCCCTATGCGCCCACATATTTGCATTTACGCGTCGCAGCCCCTGTTCGTTTCTGTTAGTGTAGTTTTTGTTTCTGTACTTCTCTTCATGTCTGTGCAGTCACATGGCCCAGCTGGGGGGACGGCGGCGGCTCGGGAGGCGACTGGGGCGGCGGTGGCAATGATAATACTGGGGGTTCAGGAGGGATAGGGACGACGACGACGACAACAACAACAACAACAACGACAACCAAGAGAGGAAGCTGGTGGCCCTGGGGTAACAGCACTGCAACGCAGACGCCTTCTCTCGTTCTCGTTGCTTTGCTGGCTGCTCTTGCTGCGCTTTAACAAGGCGCCTCTGTTTATACCTCTCACTCTTCACGTGTACAACCAGCGTCTTTGCCTGTGTGTGTCTCTCTCCCTTCTGTTTAATTTCTCTGTTTCCATTTGTGTGTCTTGCTCCGCTTCCGTACTTTTCTTACTGCTTCGCGTTTCTGCTTCCCCTCGCTTTCAGTCTCCTCGTCGCTACTCTGCCGCCCCTTTCCCTGGCAGTTAAGCACGCATGCAGTGTCTTGCATGCACTTATGCAAGCGCATCTGCATGCGCTGCCCTGAATGCACTGCCTTGCGTGCACGCGCGCAGTGGCACCGTCCAAAAGCAACACTGCGGGGCCGGCGAATGCGTGTTCAGTGCCTGTGCCTCTGTCTCGCTTAGCTTGTGGGTGCATCGGCTGATGTACATGATGCTCGACACAATTAGTTCCTTGTAGATAAACTAATTTGCAGTACTGCCGCATTGTCATGCTCTTACACTAGTGTTGATAGTCTCGTCCTGCTTTTGCGCCAAGACCAGCACGTAGTTACTTGTCTCAGCCTACCTCCGCGATTGTTTGTCACCGTTTGCATCTATTTTTTGGCTTTCCTCTGTTTTAAATGACGCTCTGTTTGTCTTACGGCTACTAATTTATCTGTGTACTTCGAAGAACTCAATACTCCGGCCAGCGAAATTCAAAAAGAAAGAAAAACTCAAAAAGGTACAAGCATACAAACGCCCCTGTAATGTGACCCAGAACAGCTCCAAAAATGGGCCTAAAAAGGGCCCCAGAGGTCTTCCTCGCCACACCTAGGGACCCAATTCGGCCCCTCGAGATCCTATGTGGGGGCCCCTGTTTTAGCCCCTGGAGCAAATCCGAGGCTTCTTTGGAACTGTCTGTCCCATTTATACAATAGTTTTGCCCTGTTAAAGAAAATGCAAACACCAGACAGATACAGGGGGGGTCCTTGCCTGTGCGGCCGCCTTTTAGCAACAACTCGCCGCCACATAGACGGGAAAGAGGTACACCCCAGACAGCCTCTCTTCCAAATCAGAGAAAGGCGAAGACAAACAAACACCAAAAGATATAGTGCAGATGTAATACAGACAGACACAGATGTGCGAAGGCACCACAGCGAGAATGGTCAACACAGACAAGACGAAACACGAAGAACCTTGCTGCTGCTGCTGCTGCTGTTCACCGCAGCGTGTGCCAAAGCTCTGGCGACACCCCAACGACATCATTTCTTCTGTTTCCTTTGTCTAAACTTTTTGGGGGCCTCTATCGCCCGCCGCCGTTCCCTTTTCACTATCTCTGTGCCCATTTTGCTGCCTCTATCCCCCCTAACTCCACAGCCTTTTCCCTGTTTCTTTGCCTTGGTTTATTCCTTGTTTCTTCTGCCTCTGTGTCCCGTTCTGCCGCCCAGGTTGACTTCTTGTCCATGTATCCCTCCCACCCAAATAAATACATTATCTCTCCCTGCTTTTTGTTGCGTTTCATTCTCCCATCTCTTTCCCTACTGTTCATTTCCCTCTGTCCCTCCTACTGACAGTAACCCGACTTTATCTGTCTTCTCCGTAAAATTTCCCCCTTTAATGCCCCATAGACACAGCGCACACCCTACGCTCTAGAACCTGAGCCCTCGACCTCATCACAGATCCCAGAAACCAGGGGGTGTTGAGGGTGGGGGAACGAAATGCCTGTGGCGGGAGCAGCGCCTCTGGTTCGTAGAAGCAGCAGCAGCACCCGCAGCAACAGCAGCTTTGCCGTTTGTGGCAGCCTCTGTGTCCGTATCGGTGTCAGTGTCGGCATCCGTTCGCCTCCACTTGTGGCGACCGCTGTGGGCTGCGCCTGCAACTTTGTTGTTGCTGCTTCCGCTGCTGCTTTGTCCCTCTCCTTGCTGCTCCAGCAAGCCGTAAAAGCCGCAGCACTGTTCACATTCAAACCCTGGCAGCTGCTGCCTGCCCTGCCGCGGCACAGACGCCCGAACACGTGGCAGCTGCTGCTGTTGTTGATCCAGCTGCTGTTGCACGGACAGCCCACAACAACGCACAGACGTACATCCCACGCTTCGCCGCGACTCACCGTCTACGCCTGCTGTTGTTGCTGCTGCTGCTGTTGATCGCCCTGCTGGTGCTGCCGCATCTGCTCCTGCTGCGTTAGGTAGAAGTCTGGTCTGCTTTCCATCAGTCTTTCTGCTGTCCTCATTCTTGTGTGCGTACTGAACAGGGGCATCAGGGTTCGTGTATATCTCCTTTTTAACTGCTGCTTCTGCCTCTTTCCCTCCCGCCTTAGACGCCAGCATACAGCCGCCACTGCTGTGGGGCCCACTGGGGGCCCTAGCTGGGGCACCATCAATGGGTGCAGAAGATACCACAATACGGCTCCTCTTGCTGCTGCTGCTGCTACTGCTACCGCTGCTACTACTGCTGCAAGTGCTGCGGTTGATCTGTGTAGGGTTCGCTGAGCGTTTCTCTCCTTCCTGACCGCCAGCCTTCTGCTGCTGCTGCTGCTCCAATGTTGGGTGTGCTGCGTCTGTGGGCTTCCTGAGCAGCTGCTGCCTGGCTTTTTTCTGCTGTTCTTTGTCCGTTTCTATTTGCTTCTCTCCCTCGATTTGCCGATCTCCTTCGGTTTGTCTCTTCCTTTCCGTCTGTCTCTCCGTTTCAATTCGTCTTTCTCCTTGGGCTTGCGGTTCAGCTGCTGCTTCTATCTGCTGCTGTGTTGGTGCTTCATTAGCAGGCAGCTTTGTTTTCTTCCATTGATCCCCAGAGCCTTCGCAGAAGCCCACAGAAGCAGCACTACCGCTGCTGCTGCTGCTGCTGCTTTTGCTGCTGTCTGGAGCCGCGCTTGGACTTATTAGCCGGAGACCCTGAATGGAGCAAATGGGCACCGTGAGTTTCTTACTGCTGGGGGCGTCGCTGCCTTCCTCGTCCTCACTGTCACTGCTGCTGCTTCTGCTGCTGCTCCTGCTGCTCCTGCTGCTGTTGTTGCTGCGGTTTCGGCCCAATTGCACGCAAACGGAAAAGGGCTCAAAAGCGAAAACAGCCATCCCAGCTTCTCTCTTGAGCCGTCGCAGCGGAAGCTCACAAGCAGCAGCAGCAGCGCGCTCCAGCAGACACAGCACTCGCATATGGGGCTTGCCATCCCCCGCCACTTCCCGGCCTTCAGCTCTAGCGGCAGGAGCTGCTGCTGCTGCTGCTGCTTCCTCCACTGCAGGGTCTGACTGGATCCATTCTGCGACCAGCAGCAACAAGTCGGAAGACGGAAGCGCCACAGCGTCCTCCAGCAGCCTTAAGTGCAGCTGGCGGGCCCTTGCAAGGGATTCCACAGGGGCTGCTGTGAGTGCAAAGGAGGCAAAAGTGCGCAACCAGGCCTCTTGCCGAACTGTTGCGTGCGCGAGGAAGTTCCTGAAAGTGTCTGCTGCCTTTACAGCTGCGGCGCTCAGAAGCTTGCCCGCAGGGCTCAGCAGCGCCACCCGCAGTCCACTGGACCCCCACCCCGAGTGGTAGCCCTCCTCCACTGAGTCAAGCAAACCCCTGCTGCTGCTGCTGCTGGAAGGAGGGACGCCTTCAGCAGCAGCAGCAGCTGCTGCTGCGTCATCGTTGGAAAGGTTGCTGCTGCCAGCGCTGGCCTGAGAAGCCCCGGAGGAAAGTCGCATAGAAGGCGAAACAGGGGCCCCCAGCAGCGGCAGATGGTCAATGCACGCAGACCAGCGGTGCAGGCGCCTTGCCCAGCGCGTCGGTTTGTCTCTGAGCAGCTCAACGAGGTCCTCATCCTGGTCAGACTCCTCCTCCTCCTCTTCTTGCTGCTGCCGCTGCTGCTCCTGGGCGTTTGCATGCGCGGCTGCAGTCCCATTCGACTGTCCGGCTGCTGCTACTGCTGCTGCTGCTGTGGCCTTTGCCTCCAGGAGTAACCACTGGTGCGCGTGGGGCCTCTCGGCTCTCAGCATTTTCAGCACCTCGAACAGCAGCAACTCCTGCGAGCTCAGCCGGCTCTCCAGCGCCCTCAGCTGCCGCTGCAGCTCCACCTTCTCGGCTTCGTGCTGCATACGCACGCACTGCAGTTGCTGCGAGTGAGCTGCACTGTTGGCAGCAAGCTCGCTGAGCTTCTCCAGAAGAGCAGCAGGCGAAGCAGAAGCTGACAGCCCCTCAAGAGCTCCATCTGGGCCCGCCGCGCGCTCCTCTGCAGAAGGTATTTTGGTGGGGGGCCCCGCAGCGGCCCCCGCGGGGCTCCCCGGGGCAGCACCCACTTTGCCATCACCCGCAGAGGCCGCCTCCCCTTCCTGCTGCATCGGCTGAGCAGCAGTGACTTCTGGAGGGTCGGATGAGCATTTCAGTGATGCGGATCTCAGGACTGGCAGAGGAGAGAGACCCCAAGCGAAGGAGCGGCCGCAGCTGCTGCTGCTGCAGCTGCTGCCGCTGCCGCTGCTGTCTGCTGAGTAACTCTGTGTGCTTTGAGGCTCTGGCACCGCCAGGGCAGATGTGAGCATTCTTTTGGCCAGAGGGCAACGGGTTTTCGTACGAACTGGGCTCTAGTACATCTGTCTTTTCAGGCTGCCGCTGAAAGTACAGAGAGACACCGGCAGCAGGCAGGCAACGACACACACGGCCCAAAGGTGTGCAACAGCGCACAACGAGAGCAGAAGATGAGTGCCACCAGCCTTAAGACCTCGCGTGGTTAGCTACAGAGGCGGCTCGGTCGTTCGTGTTGACCGTGAGGGCGAGGCGCAGAGCAGGCCTGGGCAAGCAAAGGGCACAAGTAGGCGAGTACGGCTGCAGCTGGGGAGCCTTAGAGGCCCCCAGCATCCTGTGAAGCGCCACGCACGTTAGAAACACGAGAGAAGGAACACAAACCGAGTATGGCGCCGGCCTCGAAGCCGCCAGGAGGAACGGCGGAACCTGAATTGCTCTGAGAGTGTCTGAGGCGGCCTGCACCCTACTTGCGGCTACAAAGCCCCAAATTAAAGCATGCAAAGGTTTGAAGAGAGAACTAAGGGAGCCAGAAAGTTCAAAACGGGAAAAAATTAGCCGAGAGGGTGAGCTGGGCGGGCTGTGCAGGGCTCGCGAGCAGGCCAATTTCCGCCGGCAAAGGATGCGGCACGGCGATGTAAAACGGTTAGCGAAAAACAATTCCCCAGTATATTTTCAGTTATTCTGGCTAAGGCCTAAACAGCGCGCAAAACAGCCCAGATACAGCAGCGGACTCTGGCGAATTCGCTGGCTGGCGGGTCGTGTTGTTGGACATGCCGTGCAGACCTCATGCCCGGTCTCATTTCAATTTGCCATTATAGCGCAAATTTCAGTGAATTTTCCTCAATCATTTGGTGGAATACACCATAAAAGGCTGATGAGGTGCCTTGAAGCTTCAGAAAAGCCTCGGATCCCTCCCCGAACAGCGCCTCACCCGGCGATCTACGAAGACAGCAAGCAGAGTAAAAAAACGACAGTTTCGTACCGTCACACCTTTGCCTACTGCATATGCAGGCTTAAAAGCCACACGCTTTTATGCATTCAAATCCCCTCTCTCCCTGAAACACAAAGCGTGAAACTTGCGATTAGAAATCTTCTCTTGGGATGGCTGACTACTGCATGGTCTTGCTCGTTATTGCGGCGGCACCGTTGGAGCGACAAAGTCGAAGTTTTGAGCTTTACTTAGATCATAAAATTTTCCGCAGACGAAGTTTTCTTCGTCAGTTTTTTAATGGCCAATGAGCATACTTCAAGCGAGCAGGGACCACAAGCTGCATGGCTACCCCTGCTCAAGAGGAGCGCCAAATCTTCCAGTTGAATCGACAACAGTACAAGCACCAGTTGCACAAATCCTCATCTGGTGAAGCGGAACAGAACGGTGTGCGAATGAAATGAGAGGGTGTCGAACTGGTCGCCCCATAGCTAGCTGTGGCTAGCTCTTACCCCCATGGGCCTCTACAGCCCGAAGCCCGCCGGTATCTAGCGATATGCATCAGTAGCTACCCATGGGTAATTGTGACAAGCCCGTTGGCAGCTGTAACCCTTCACAGAGAGCTATAGCCAGCTATTGCTGGACGACTTCCTCGGAACGGACACTGCTGTGAAGGTGAAGGCCATCGAACAGCGTCGGGGCGCTGTCACGCACTACCCACCACCTCCTTCGCCTCACTACACCTAAATTAACTTATTTTTAGTCCGCAGTTCTCGTTATTGCTTGACCAGGAGCTTTGAATGCTTCCTTTACTCACCACATACATGTTCAAGAACCATTTTGGCCGTGCTGAAAAGGTCTATTCATCTCACTATCACGATGTGTGGCATGCGGGGTCAGGCTCATCTTTGACTTGTAGCAAATATGGGCTACATGCAAATCTAGCTGCCCAGACTAGATCAGCCTTACTTTAGAGCTCCCAGGGCGCGCTGTACTGCTAGAAGAGTCCTGAATGACTGCTTTCGCTTATGAAGAGTCAGCGCCCTGCTAGCTTCACCTTACCGGCAAGCTACAGACACCGAAAATGGGGGCTGAGGAGCGCAAAGCAGCTTTATTTTTTGGGGTTGTGCTTCCCAGACACTTCCTGAGCAGTGTTACCTAGACCCAAACAAGCAACAGCTGCGGAGCGTTGTAAGCACTCCTTGATAGCTAAAGCCGTATCACTGCCATTTTAATGCAGATATGGGCACGAGCAGCTTTGATTATCGCCCCTCTAATGCAGATATGGGCACGAGCAGCTCTGATTATCCTTATTGAAGGTGCCCACACTGAAGGCTGCCGGCGTAAGTGAGCACAGGCACAGCAGAACCTCTAAATTCCCCTAGGTGACTACTTCATTCAGGGTGCCACCCTTCCCCAGCGCTTTCTTTGGGCGAGCATTCTTGGCCCGAGGTGCTGCTACGTCCTATCAAACTTGTACTAGTGTATGTTTGGTTGGTTTCTTGCTGTGTCTGGGTATCTGGCGGTGTGTTGCGCCTCGTAGCGCCTGCTGCTTAGGCCGAGAAACACAGTTCATGAACGACCGCTTGAAAGCTTTGATTACTAGTCGTGTGGCACACAATCAGCTAGTTCTTCATATAATGGTTATGCTTTTCTTGTGCTTTGGGTGGGCTTCTTTTGCTTCCTCCTCCTCCCTCTCTCTCATGTTTTCCATCGCTGCCCCACAGTACGCTGTCTGCGTGTTTGACTTTCCGTAATTACTTTTCCACGTCTCTCCTGTTTTCTTGGTCTGTTATGCCCTTTTGGTTCTCGGCGTTTCTGCCACACGAGAAACGCCGAAGACAGCACTTGATCTCTCGCCTGTGCTCTGATACTTTTGTACTGCGAATCTCGCTATGCTTCTATGTGGCCTAATGAACCGACACACATCAACATTTGAACCTACGTCCGCAGCAAATAACTAGATTATGCTGCTACGTCGGCTTTTTGCCTTCGTCTCTTATGTGGGGATAGCGCCTCTCCTATTGCTGCATTGTGGCTCCGATTTGCACCGAATGATACCTTACGGTGTACCCGCTGGGCTTCGTAGTGTCCGGTGCACTGCTTTGCATTGCAATATCTAACTTTCGAGTTTAGTTACTTTATCTTCTCACTTTACCTTCAAGGGCCCTTCCCCCTGCTGGTTGGTGCTTCAGCTTAGAGTGCGCGGGACTGGCGACAGTGGAGGCTATTATAGTGGAGACTTGCGTACAGTTGGCAGCTGGCGTTTTGTGTATATTTCCTTTTTACGTATATTAAGCACTCCCTCTTGTCTCCTTCCTTTCCGTGTCGTTCTTCCCTCTTCCTGGCTACGCCTACCTCTTCCGGTTCCTGGCTCTTTTTGAATTTGGCTGCGTGCGTCTATTGTCTTTCTGCGCCTGTGCTACTCCACCGATGTCGGCCCTTTCTTCTGCATCTCGCTACGTCTGGCCCGTCACCTGCTCTCCCCAACGTGTCCGCCTGCACTAATCTCTTGCGGCTATTCTGTTGGGAACGAAGACACGGCGCCTCCGCGGCTGTCGTCATTCCTTCCTTCTCACTAGAAGAAGCAGAACATTGTAGCGGCGAGTTAGGGAGGCCGCGTTTTCCCCCCCGTGTGCTTCGCGTACCTCTGCACATACAAGAGCAATTTATGCTTCTTTGCTTTAGTATCCATTTGTCTTCTTCATTCGTCCTCCTTCCCCTCACAAAGCAGCGCGCAGTCCAGAGTACTCCCGACCAGTGACGTAAACAGGGGTTAGAGATTGCTCCGCTGTGGCTCCCCTACAGCAAACTATGACATCCTATGGCTAGCTATGACTAAATGTGGCTAGCTGGCCCTGGCAATAACCTGGTCGGGCCACCAATGAGTGTCCGTCCCTACACATCTGGGCTGCGCGTATGCGCGGTTTCCCAGCGGCCTCTTGCGCTGCCCTCGTGCACCTGTAGAGAAAAAAGAAGAGCACGGCATTTTATGAAGTGTGCTTTCGCTAGAAAGAAGCAGGATTTCGGATGAGACGTTGGAGCTGGTCTTGCGTGAGGCTGGGGCCGTGTGCGCTTGCTGCCCAGTAGCAGGAGCAGCTGGGGGGTTTGTGCGTTTAAACGCGTCATTCATTTGCTCTTGAACAATTTGATACATTTTGAAATGGAAGATGGTTCCAAACTGGGCTTCTTGAGGCGGTGTTGCTGCTGCTGATGCTGTTGCTGCAGCTTCAGCGAGGATCGGGGGGCTGCAGCGGCAGCCGAGTCTGTCCAGCGTGAGGCTGCTCTGAGCTTTGTGTTTACATTTTGGCTCAACTGTTGCCGTTTTTTTCTTTCTTTTCTTTTCTTTCCCCTTCTTCTTCTTTGTTTTCCCATTGAGAGTTCCACAGGGCTGCTCTGTGGCACCCTTTTCTCTTTCTGACTTAGGAAGGCTCGGCCCAGCTTGGAAGCTGCGCGCACCCCTAGAGTGCGTCGTTCGTAGACTGGAGGCCTTAAGTTTTGCGTCTCCTGCTTTTAAATGAATCTATTTGTCTTTTTAATTTCTTGCTAACTTTCTCAACTGACCAAGAGCTTGGCAGCAGCCGCTCGAGCAGCAGCAATAGCAGCAGCCGCACCGACTGCGGCACGGGACGCGACTTTCCAGCAGCCCCTTGCACTTCTTCCCCTCTCCTTCCTAGCCTGAAGCAGACAGGAGCGGCTGGGCCATGGCAGGAGCCACACGTGGTCGCTGCGGTGCCTCATGGGCAGCAGCAGCAGGAGCACGAACGCCGTTTCTGCTCCTCCTGTTTTTTACAGTGCCCGCGGCCTTTCTGGTGGCCTTTGCAGCATCGGCAGACACCCCGGACGGATCGTCTTTCGGCTTCTCGGGGACCCCCTTAGGGGCCCCGCAGGCCTCTCCTTTGGGCCCCTCCACGGAGTACCCGCAGGATGTCTCCGGGGCCTCTTCCTCGGGCCCTGGGGGCTTTTCTGAGCAATTCGCGTCCGCCCTGTCCTCTCTGGGGCCTCTGTTTGGCCAGTTCTTGTCATCAGGCGAGTCTGGGGGCGCCTCTAGCGGCGCGGGGGCCCTCGGGGCCCTCTACGACATGGGCCGGCGGGCCGCGGGGGCCCTCTCGGCCTCTATTGCGTCCGACGAAGCGCGAGAAGGCATGTGGGTGCCTCTGCACGAGCAGCTCGGGCTGGCCCGGGATATGCTGGGGCTGCCTGGGGACGACGCGCAGGGAGTCCGCAGCGCCGCGCGGCTGCTGCTGGCTGCCCAGCTGCCCATAGTGCGTTTTGCTGCGGAGCGCGAGGCTTCAGATGACGAAGAGGCAGACAGGAGGGCACTTCGGATCGTCACAGAATATCCAACAACTAAAAAGTGAGTCAGCTGCTCCGCGGGGGCCGCGGGCCACCAAGCTGCCCTCTCCACGTTGTTTGCCCGTGGCCTTGCTGCTTTCCTTTTGCTTGCGAAGATTCTCTAGCGGCTTTCATTTCGTTTAATTTGTTAATTTGGTTGCTTTGAGTTTCACTGTTCTTTCCCTTTTGCTTCGGAGGGGCTGTGGCTGGCATCGCTATCTGTGTCCGCCTCTTGTCCTGGGGGTGGCCATGAGCTGTTATTTGTTCTTTCGGTTGCTCTTGTGTCTCGGTCTGCTTTTGTCCTCTCTGTATTTCTCTTGTCGCTGGCCCAGAGCTCTGGCTTCGCTGCACCCCAGCTGCTGCTGCTGCTGTGTTTATGTTTGGTGCGCGGCTTCTGTGGCAGTGTCTGCTGGCTCGCCGTTGGCCTCTGCGTCTTATCATGTCTAAGATGGCTACTTTTGCTGCTCTTGTTGCTTGTGGATTCCTTGCTGCTGCTTCACCGCTCCGCGCCTGCTATTGGTGCTGCCGGTGTCTGCTGTGTCAGTGTGGCTGCGCTGCCGCTTAGGGCGGCTTGGGTGCATCCGAGCTGAAAAAAAGCGTTTTTAATAACGTGGATTTGCGTTTATAAACAAATAAATATTCCGGGAAGCACAGGGGGCGCCTCTCGTGAGAGAGTTGCAGCAATACGAGCCTTCATAGCTGCGGTTGCTTATGCTGCGGCCTCCTGTGCCCCAGGATGCTTGCGGACTACATGGAGCAGAAGCCCGACAGGAACATCCGGGCAGCGCCGGCGGAGCTGATTCGGCTGCACGAGGAGATGAAAGAGCACTTGAAGGCCTTCAGAGCTGCTGCTGCCAGCAACATTCTCCCGGTGTCTATTCTGGGCGCTCTGGATTCTCTGAGCAACGAGGCGGCGCTGAAGGTCAACGGCTACTTGGCGACTGTCGCTCGCTATCTCACGTACACCGACCGATTCAGCAAGAACAAGCGGGGCCTGGTTTTCTTCGCCAGGCACATGCTGCCGCGGCTGCTGCAGCTCTTCGCGCTGCAGCTCGACGCATGCAGGCACTTGTGGCGCTTTCTCTCTTTTGCTTCTCCACGGGAGACGCTGACGGGGCCCCTGACCTTCAAGCCGTCCCTGTCGCCGTCTGGCGCTGCAGCTGCCGCCGCCGCAGCAGCAGCAGCGGGGGCAGCAGAAGGCGCAGATGAGGACAGCACCTTTGGCTCGGAGGTGGACCCCTCCGCCGCCGCCGCAGCAGCAGCAGCAGCGCATGCGCCCAGCCTGCCCGTGGCACTTACTGTCCACGATAGCGAGGCCGGGGGGCCCCTGCGGACGCTGGCCCAGAATTTGGGGGTGCATTTGCCCACAGTGCCCCACGCAGACGCGCGGGCCTTCGGGCGGCGGCTGCTGGCGCGCGTGCAGGTCCACATAGGGGCCCTTTACGCGCTGGCTCAGGGCTGTCTTGCTGCCACTGCGCTGTCGTTCCAAAGGGAGTACGCAGAGGCGGAAGACAGGGTGGAATTGGGGGAGGCGCCTGCTGCTGCCTTCCTCAGCTTGCGGGGCCAGAGCGAATGCGTCGAGAAAAGCAGCAGCAAGAAAAGCAAGGGCAAAGAAACTGCGAAAGAAAACGCTGCAGAGGAAAGTGGACGAGACGGACAGCCGACGGAACCGCAGAAAAAACAGAGCCACAGGCTGAGGGCGCTAAACAGGGGCCGCCCAGCGGGATCGGCAGCAACAGCAGCAGCAGCAGCAGGAAACCCGAATGATGCTGAACGCACCTCGTAACAGAAGGCGGAGCCTGCAAACCAGCAATATAGAGAGAAATGTTACCCCGGCCGCTCCCCGACCTTCGCATGCTGCTGCAAAAGCAGCAGCATCAGCAGCAGCTGTAGCAGCAGCAGCAGCTTTTGCTGCTGTAGGAGCGCGGCAAGGAATGGCGACGGGGCGGCCGGGCAGAGAAAGGCCTTGAATGGAGGAACGGGGAGGGAAATAGAGCAGTAGAGACGAACAAAGAAAATCATTAAACTACTTTCAAGTAAGAGGATGCCCACGAACTTTGAGTTGGCTGGCTGGTGTTTGTGGCTCGCGCAGCTGCGCCCAGACCGTCAGCACATAATGCTCAGTGGGAAGCCTGCGGCGGCGACTGCACGGGTGTACGTTCTCGCGTTCATTATGCAACGGGAAGCAGCAGCAGCAGCAGCAACAGCAGCAGCAGCAGCAGCAGCAGCAGCAGTTTGAACAACCGTGCATGCTCGTGCACGTGCGGCCTCATACGTGTATTTTTGTGTATGGCTTTAGGGATATAAAAGGCTTACGTGATGGACACCGCGCGTAGGCGCTTGAGTTCGTGCACCCACCATAGAGCTTACAAGCGCATTACACAGATGCATGCATGCAGTACATCTTCATCATATGCATTACGCATATTTATATGTGTACCTAAGCATGTGTATGTATGCGTAAGTAATGCATATTCTTGTATTTGTAGGCTTGCATGCATCCACATGACTGTACTTGTATGATGTATATACCTGTACAGGCAATAGTGTAGGCTTGCAAGTATCCGTATGACTCGTCTATCTGCACAAGTGACACATGCAGGCGCTTATCTGAGCAGCAGCAAATGTAGACACCAGCGAATTTCGTGTGCGCCTCTGTGTGCTTGTGCGAGTGTTGGTTTGTGCGCGCGCCTACATATGCTTTCTCACACAAGCATGCGCTGCTGCCCCAGCTAGCTCTAGGCAGCAGCCTCGCAGCGCGCGCAGCAGCTCTGTGAACACCTGCGCTGCTTGCCACCACGGCTGCAAGCCTTACGGCACGCGCCTGCGCTTACGTGTGGGGCAGCGCCTGTGCAGCAAAGGCACGGGTGCGGGTCCAGGAGCTGGTATGTACGCAGCTGCATGCACCACAGCAGTACAGATGCACAAGTACGCACGCGCTAAGTTCTACAGACACGCTCTCATAGAAAGGCAGATATGCTTCTAAACATCCAGACGTTTGCAAGTGCACGCTCAAGCCCAAGAGCGAGGTAGAGGTCTTCGTAGGTTATGTGGGGCGCTGAAGAGGTCAGAGAGAAGCAGCTCGGTGTTCCTTATCCCAGTGTCTGTGTACATGGGGCTGCATCTGCACGTGAACCTGTTGCCGCGGGGCTCCTCTCGGCAGTGGCGGCTGCTGCTGCTGGTTTGAGGGGCCCGAGCGGTACGCACACCCCAGGTCGCACAGGTTCATGTGACTACCTGGCCGTAAGTTTGCTTCCGGCGTAAGTTTGCTTCTAGTGGCTGTGAACGATATATCGTCTCATTGAATATACGGGGATGCATGCTCTGGTTGCGTGCGGCAGCAGCAGAGCGGCATGCTGCTGCCGCAGCTTCAGGAGCTGCGGTTGAATTGGCTGCTGCTGCAGCACGGCCAACGCCCTTCTGTTTAAAAGTTTAAAGAGCGTAGCTAGTTTGCTAGCTATTCTTAACGCTCAATGACGAAACCATCAAGCTTACTATGTGGCTAGTTGGCTGGCGGGTTGGCTAGCTAGCTAGCTGCCTAGCTGCCGGCTCCTCCCGCCGCCCACAGCTAGCCAGTGGGCTCCGCAGTGCTAGGGAGGAGGTGAATGGGCCGCGTCCATCAAACATTTTATTTAGAGGGCGGGTGGCGGATGCTGCTCATCTACCCATGTCTTGCTGCGCAGTGAACTCCGATCCAGCTGGCCGCTCGGTGGCTAGCCAGCTGGCTGGACCGCTGTGTAGCAAGCAAGCTAGCTAGCTAGCTGTGTCCACCGACGGCGTGTTGCCTCTCGCTCAATTACAGCCTACAGTGGTGTGTCTGAACTAGCCTTCTGGTCGTAGAGATGGGACTTCGGCCATAGCTCTAAACCTTGCTGCAACAACATTATCTATTCCAGCGCTAGACACGAGCCTCTGCTCCTAGGCTTGCATGCCACCAGCGCAGAATTTAGGTTCGTTGCAATAGGTACTCGGGGTACTGGGGCAGTGGCGGAGTCGCCGCCCACCCGACACCAGCTAGCCCAGTTAGCCAGCCAGCCAGAAGTGCGCCCAGCACCCCGCTCGCCTCGGGAACAGTGCTAAGCCACTTCAGGGCCGGCGGGCTGTTCCGACAGTTTCCCGGCTAGCCAGCTAGCTCTGATTTGGTGCAAACATGACCTAAAAAAACCCAGTTTCCGCATTTTACGGAGGGGGACTGAAATGAGCTGAAATGTTTGCACACCCGGCCTGCGTGGCGGACACATCGCTACAGCAGCAGCAATAAAACCCGGTGCAGCAGCATCACTGGCTGCTGGAACGGCAGCACTCGATGCAAAGGCAACGGCGCAGGCTGCAGCAGCGCTAAGCTTCAAGTTGCACGAAAGCCAGCAGGCTTGCGAGCAGTGCAGGGCAGCAGGTGTTGCAATGTAGCGGCTGCAGCGACCATTATACGTGTTTCGTGGCTGCTACTGCAGCATTTGCAGTCGGCAGCCGACGCCACTGTAGCGCAAGTCGCATCCAAAGCTGCCCTGCTGAATAAAAAGACGCAGCAGCAGCTCCTTCTGCTGTTGCTGCTGCTGCTGAAGCTGCAGAACTACTCTAGGAAGTCATTCTCTGGCACGTATAGCGCGTCAACATCTGCCTCCATGGCGCAGTGCCGAAGAAGCTCCTCATGAGTTGGCAGAGAAGGCGACATTGCGCAAACAGAGGGCCCCACTGTGGGGCCAGCAGGTGCGGGGCTGGCTGCGGGTTTGCTGCCATCAATCCATTGGTAGTCGTCTCTTTTCCCCCGAAAGGAGAATGGCCGGCCTAAGAAGCTCGCGCAGTGCCGGCTGTCGCTGTTGTTCTTGCTGTTGCTGTTGCTGCAGCCAACGGCTGAAAAGCCCAAACGTGACGGAGGCGGTATCACAGCGAGAAGCACCACTTGCGCGACACCCACGCAGAAGCCTGCAAGCACAGCACAACAGCAACAGCAGCAGCGTCAGCAGCACTGTTGCGAACCAGCGCGGCAATGATTCTAGTCCACAGTTTTACATCGTCATTGTGAGAACCAAACAACAGAAGCAGCGAAATAAGCAGGCAGGCGCCCACTCATGGAAACAGTTACTCTAAACGCTAAACCCTCTGTATCTAAGAAGAGCAAAAGAAGGATAAATAAGACGGCAAGCCGCAGCAGACTACACAAGGCGGTGGGGCCTGGCTCTGCCGCTGTCCCGGAACTGAAGCCTCCTGGGGGCTCCAGGACGAATTCTGGGTTTGCGGCTCAAGTTGTGCTTTTAGACTAATTACCTAGTAAATTTGGCACAACAATAAAAATGTCTTGGGCAATCCATCCGTAGGCGAGCCACAGAGCCGCGCACAGCAGATTCCCAACTGACATCTCCGCTGGCATTGAGGCGGTGCTTCTCTCCTTAAGCACGACACGGAGGGAGGCCAGTGGCGCAGCGTAAGACAAGACGTTCACGGCAGCTGCAGCAGCAGCAGCAACAGCAGCACCAGCAGAGAACAGGAGGAATCAGTAGGCCGAGCAGGCTGCTTTCTTCCCAAGAAAGCTCATGCCCATAAGCGGCCAGCTGCGTGGGAAGGTCAGAGCTAGGGGAGCTGCAAGAGAAGACAGTTGCAGCGAGAAGCGAAAAGCATAAGAAGACTAAAATGCAAAGAAATACGCGAGCGCAGGCGGGTGGGGGCAACAAGAAATCAACATGAAATGGTTGCAAACAGGCTGGCGCAAGGAGTCGAAAGGCCGAAGCAGCAGCAAAGAAGACAGCACCAGGACAAAGCCACGAAACATAAGCGGTGCTGCAGTGTGACAAATGGTCTCGTGAGCAGAAACAGGCAAAAATATGGGTAGGGAGATGAACACTCAGGCACAGAAAGGCACAAATGCTCGAGCCAAGAGAGCTAAAAGAAAACAGATCAGAGAAAAGGAAGCAGTGTTCCCTCCCTCGGCCTTGTTCCTCAGTGCCACTTACAGGCAGCAAGCCCCACAATAAGCTCTGCAAAGCTGCGCGGGCAGCAAATGCACAGAAGCACCAGCGCAGCAATAATAACAGCAGCAGCCTTCAAATATATCCCCAGCAAAAACCGCTGCTTGTCCCCGCGATTCGTGTTTGCCCAAAACGTCAGCACAAACCACCCCCCTGCGCACATACAGACACCGTTGCAGCTGCTGCGGTTGCTCCTGCCGCTGCTGTTACTGCTAAGACAAGACCAGCAACAGCAACCCCCAAAACACGCACTTCAACTGTTCCCGCCGTTGCTACAGCGCTCTAAAAAAGCCGGTTCCCGCCGTTGCTACAGCGCTCTAAAAAAGCCGAACAAACTCATGTGCAAAGGACAAGAAAACACCCTCAAAAGACAAAGTTCACAAGTCTCACCTGCAATGACACCTGAAACATTCGGCAGCAAAATGGCCGGGTCCACCCTCAAGACTCCGTAAAGGAGCCAAAGGCAGGCTGAAAAGAAAAGGCTGAAGAACGGCAGGCTCTCGAGGCCTAGAGTGCTGTTGCAGGCGGCGATTCTGCAGCACACAGACAAGCAAAGATGCACTGAAATTCGAAAAAGTTGAACTGCAGGCTGGTTCCAGCACGGCGAAAAGATGCTCAGCGAGGCAGAAGAAGAAGGCTTAACAGGCTATACAGCTCCACTTAAGCAAAAACCTTGAACCAGAAAACAGCGATATTTCGCATATCACTGATGCTGTGTGCAGAGATTGTGCCGCGAAACGCAGCAGCACATGCACCGCGAAGCAGTAGCAACAGGCGCCAGAACAGCAGCAGCTACGGCAGCAGCAGCTAATGACGGATGAGTGCGCAAGTATAGGAAGAAGACTCAGAAGCAGCTGCTGCGACACGTTTTTCAGCTGCCTCCGTTCCTCCACCATCTAAAGAGCACGGAAAGAGCCCCCGCAGCTGTGGCAGCAACTGCGGGCAGCAAGCAGCTGCTGCTGTTACCTGGCAATAGTAGGCAGCGGCGTCAGCTGCATCAACATTGCAGCAGTAACAGCAGCAGCACGAATGACAGTTTTGACTTTTTGAGCAACAGAGGCCGGCAGGAGGCTGAGGGGAGCCGGCAGCGGCACTTCAGACTGCTGTGGCGCCTCTCCTTCCTGCTGCTGGTCTCCGCTCTCCTCTGCTGCTGCCGCTGCTGCTGCTGCTGCTGCTGCCGCAGCCAGAGGCTCCGATGCCGCGCTTGACAAGCGGTCTGGCCCAGCAGCAGAAGCTTCCGGAGAAGCTGTGCCAGCGCTGCCTTGCAGCAGCTCCGTTGATATGGTTCCTGCAGCTGCTGCAGCTGCTGCTGCAGCTGCAGCGGCCTTCTCAGCAATATCAGCAGCAGTAAGAGCTCCAGCAATGTCTCGCTGCTCTTGCTGCTGCAGCGCTTGGGCCGGCTGCGCGAGTGTTGACGAAGGTCCTGCTGCTGTAGCAAGCATTGCCGCTGCTGCAGCTTCCGCAGTAGACGGCAATCCTAAGGAAGCCAGCGGGCTCTCAGCTGGTGCTTCTGGTGTTGCTGCCGCCGGCGCTGCTGCTACTGGTGCTGCAGGTGCTGTAGTTTCAGCTGCTACTGCTGGTTCAGCTGCTGCTGCAGTTGCTGCTGCTTCAGCCGCTGATGCCGCTGCTGCTGCTGCAGCAGAATCCGTTGCACCTGAAGACAGATCTGGCGCAGCAGCCGCGTCTGCAGGCGCTTCCGATACGACAGCTGAGTGTTCAGTACCATCCGTGGCCGCTGCAATGGCAGCTAAATTCGCGGTTGCTGCTGCTGCTCCTGCTGTTGTTGCTGCTGCCGTTGCTGCCCCTGCCTCGGGTGACACATAGCCCGGGACAGCAGCAGTAGCAGCAGCAGCTGCTACTGCTGGAAAGATGCGCTGTTGTTGCGCTGCACCCAAAAGCAGCAATAGCGGCAGCAACACCTCGAGCTGCTTCAGCAGCCGCAAGTGGCTGCAACAAAATATGCTGCGTGCCATTTTTGAGGAGGGGGACCGGTGGCTGCTGGTGCAGCTTCCTGCTGCCGGTGCTGCTTCCGCTGCAGCTTGCTGCTGCTGCTTCCGCAGTATCTGTGAGGTTTCAGCTCCTGCGGAGCAGCTACACACTGAAAAGACAGCAAGCGCTGCTGCTTCTTTGGCCGCATGAAGTCCCTGCTGCCGTTGCTGCTGCTGCTGCTTCCTACCGGCAGCAAGAGGCGCTGGTGCTGCTGCTGGGGATGGTGGTGCGACTATTGGCAGTGCTGCTGCACTTGAAGCCAAACCCCGCGGCTGTAGCAGGCTTGGATGTCTCTGTGGGGTTGGAAGCCAAGCCAACCTTCCGTTACTGCCTGCAGCCACTGGTGGGCCGGCAGCCGCTGCAGCTGCGCTTCTGCTGCTGCTGACGAGTCAGGCAATAATTCCGCTGCGGCCGCAGCTGCAATATAAGGAAGAGAGTAAAAGGGAGGAAGACTGGGGTCTGCGCTGCAGCAGCAGGTGCTGCTCCTGCTGCTGCGCTAGCAGCAGGCCGCTGGTCCTGCAATGTTTGGCAGCTGCTGCTGCGCCACTGCAGCAGAGAGACAAGGAGGAGATGAAGGAGAGGGAATGTATAGCTCAAGGAAAGGCAATGAATAAACATCAGGAATATCTGTTCCTGTGTGCTGCTGCTGCTGCGCCTGGAGGCCAAGTAACGGCAGCCCATCGATGAGGGAAGGTCTGCTGCTGCGGCTGCTGCTGCTGCTGTTGCTGCTGCTGCGTCTGCTGCTGGTGATGCATTTCGAAGGCATAAAGGAGGCACAGAAGTGCATTTTCTCTTTCATGTTCATCTGCTTCAGCAGCACCAATAACAGCAACGCTGCCGTGTGCTGTTGTAGCTGCCACTGGTGCTGCCACTGCTCGAGCCTGGGCTCCGCATGGGCACTGGGCTACCATCAGTAGCCAGATCAGCCCTTGCTGGAGCTGTTGCACTTTTTCCTTAAAAGCAGCAACATTGCTGCGGCATTGACCCTTCGCTCGCGGTTTGCTGCGCCTGCTGCTGCTGCTGCCTTCCGGGGAAGGGAGGAGAGCAGCATCGATTGTCTCCAGATGCAGCAGCAGCTGCAGCGGTAGCGCCAAGAGCCTCACACGGGCAACTTGGCCTTTAGCGCGAGCCTTGCTGATCTTAGCAGTGCCAGCAACAGCAGGATTTGCAGCTGCAACGGCAGCAGCAGCAGCAGTGGCAGCAGCAGCAGCAGCCGGTACCAAGCAGTTTCTCCTAGCATCTTCTACACAGTGTACAATAGGCCAAGCACCGCCTAGCCGAGCACACGCGAGCTCGCTGCAACAGCCGCAGTCCTCACTGCAGCATTATGGCTAGAAGCACCAAGAGTTGCAGTGGTGGTGGTGGCATAGGCAGCAGCAGCAACAACAGCAGCACCAGTACCAGCAGCAACCCTAGCGACAGAAACAGCGAAAAACATTTCTTCCGAATCCAGAAGCCTTTAATTCCTGCTCTAGCACCATGGACTCGCGAGGTGAAGTAGCATCAGCTGCTGCACTGGCAGCAGCAGCAGCCACGGCGGCTTCAGCTCCAGCTGCAGCAGCTACAGTTCCAGCAGCAGCAGCAGCAGTACATGCTGCTGCAGGTGTCGGTAAAGCTATTCAAGGGCTGTCTACCGTTCCCTCAGCTTCCCTTCAGCCTCCGAGCGCCAGCAGCAGCAACAGCAACAGGGCCAGCAGCGGCACCAGAATCAGCAGCAGCGGTGGCAGCAGCAGCAGCAGCAGCGGCGTGATCGTGACCAGCAGCAACAGGGAGACCGAGGCTGCGATGCGGCTGATGCTGCAGCCAGCGGAGGTGCTGCTAGACAGGACGACTGCGCTATTTGCTGCTCTTGCAGACCCAGATTTGTACAGGCAGCACTGGGCAGGCGTTGCCCCCGGCGTTTGCTGCCACAGAGGCAGCAGCAGCAGCGGCTGCTGCTGCTGCGATGAAGGGGCGGGCTGTGTTTGCAGCGTATGCAGCAGCAGCCCTGGGCAGCAGCGACGGTACAGCTGCAGCGGCAGCAGCTGCAGCCTTGCTGTGCCCCCGCGAGCAGAGGGCCCGCTGGTGGATTTGCTGCCTCTTTTTTTGTGTCGGAGTGACGCAGCAGCAGCAGCTGCTGCTACTGCAGCAGAGCGCTACAGCTTTTTGCCCACTGCTGCTGCTGCTGCTGCTGCTGTGCCTCTGAGGTATGCAGACGATGTCGCCTGCTACTGTCTTCGTCTGGACTTCTTGGGCCGACCAGCAGCGCCGGCAGCAGCAACAGACACCGCTGGGAGAGAGCACGGACCCAACCAGGAAGCAAGGCAGCAGCGGCAGCAGCAGCAGCGCTCAGCACCGTGTCACTGCTGCAGCTGCTGCTGCTGTAGCCGCTGCAGCAGACACGCTTCGCCGTCTCTGCCCTTTGAACCGTGCCTTCATGATTGCCCTGCGGCAAGAGACGCGCAAGGCTCGCAGCAGCAGCAGGAGCAGCGGGAGCAGAAGCAGCAGCAACAACAGGCAGCTGCTGCCTTTGCTGAGGACGTGCTGGCCCGAGATGTGCCCGCTGTTGCATTTGTGGGCCCTCCTCCAGCGTGGATGTCAGTTCATCTCAGGAGGGAAGATGAGGCCACGCCGGCTGCAGCAGCAACAGAAGCCGCAGCAGGAACAGAAGCAGCAGCACCTGCAGCAGCTGTAGAGGCCGCAGCAAAAGCTGGGACCACCTCCACACCACTTGGGACGGCAGCGGCGCCCCCAGTAGAAGCTGCACAGGGGGACACAGCAGAAGGAGCGTCAGGTTCTACTGCAGCAGCACCAGCTTCAGCAGCAGCAGCTGCTGCTTCTGCTGCTGCCCCGAACTCTGAAACTTTTGAGCCCGTGGCATTTCCCACCCGTCTTTACGGCTACCACATTGGCCGTCGTTTCGCTGCTGCGGCGCGTGACTCGGCGCTGCTGCTGAAGCAGAAGCGGCAGAATCGCACAGCAGCAGCAGCAGCAGCAGCAAGAACAGAAGCATCAGCAACTAAATTGGTAGCGGCAGCAGCAGAACGAACCCAGGACACCTCTGCGTCTATGAATGTTGATTTGGCAAGCGTGGAACCTGCCGCCCAAAAGGAGGACGCATCAGCCGGCAGCAGCAGCAGCAACAGCAGCAGCAGCAGCAAGTTACGGTGTACGTGCAGCTGCTGCACGGCAGCAGATTCGTTGCTCAAGCTGCTGGAGTCAGACCCTCCAACGTTTGTTGCAGTAGAGAACAGCAGCAGCAGGAGCCGCACCTGCTACGTGTACCAGGGCGCCACTGGAGCAGGTAGCAGCGGCTGCAGCAGCACCAGCAGCACGAGCAGCACCAGGGGTTTGGGTATTGGCAGCAGCAAAGCCTCACGGGCGTCCGTCAGCCACAGGGAGGGCGTGTGGCTGCTGCGCTCTGCAGCAGGAGGAAAGCCATTTGCTGCGCAGGCCGTGCTGCACCTCCGTGTGTCCGCGTTGCTGCTGCTGCACGCATCGCGCCGGCGGAAGCTGCTGCAGGAATTTTCCAGCAGCAACAGCTGCAGCGTGAACGGGGAGAGCAGCGGAGACGCAGATGCGAGGGAGTCTTGCTGTTGCTGCTGCTGTAAGGACGTTGGTGACGCGCAGTTATCGCACCAGGGCAGCAGCAGCAGCAGCAGCGGCGGCGAAGCATTACAACGGCAGCTGCTGCTGCATGCAGACGCGCAGCTGGACATTTCACTTGTGAAGCTTTTGCTTCTTGATGTGCACCGCGCCTTCCCAACGGAGCCGACTTCTCGCGTGCTGCGGCGTTTGCGGCGAATGACTCTCACTTGGTTTCGCTGCAAGAAGATGGCGCTGCTGCTGCAGCAAGAACAGCAGCAGCAGCAGCTGTACCAAGCAGAAGCGGGAGCTCTGCTGGGGCTGCCTTCTCAGCCGAACGCCTCCCCCTCCCCAGCCCCAGCATCAACATCAACAGCATCAGCAGCAACAGCAGCAACGGCGAAGCCACTCCAGGCTAAGGACAAGTTTTGTCTGCCTAATTTGCCGCAGCAGACCCTTCGTATCTTGCTGGCGGACGCTGCGGTGGAAGGTGAGGCAATATCAGTGGCAGCTAGCGGATCTAGGTGCAGCGCAGCAGCAGAAGGCCACGCTGCTGCTGCAGGGGCGAGTCCTGTCTTCAGCCTGCAGCAGCGAAGAGGCCATGCAGACAGCGCCTTTAAAGCTGCAGCGCAGAGTAGCTTTGTGTAGGGTGTAGGTACATCTGTGGCCGGCATTGCTGGTGAGGTGTACGTACACTTTGCAGTGTGGGATGTGGGGTGTGGGGTGTCTGCGCAGCTTCTTACGCAGCGGAGTTGTGCGAAGTGGCCGAGGGCCTTATAAGCCGATTGGGCGATTTCGCTCGGCCTTCGACCTGCAGAACGGGGTGTTTCAGGCCTGCAGCAGCAGCTGCTGAATCCGGCAGCAACAGCAACAGCAGCAGAAAGGCGGAAAGGCAGCAACTGGCCATCGGGCTACGGTGGCGGGGAGACTTCTTCTGCTTTGAGCTCTTTGCTGCTGTTCTACAGCAGCCCGCAGAAGACGCTGGAGATAAAGATGCAACGAGCGGCTGCTGGCGCCTGCTGCTGCATGAGGTGCTGCAGCCTTGCGTCTTGGATGCGGTGTCTGTACACCTGGCATTTTGCTTAGCCCTGCGGCGGCTGTCGCCGTGGCTGCAGCTGCAGCAGCAGCTCGTGCAGCTGCTGCGCTGCACCGCAGAGGGACATCAGGTGCTGGCAACAGCAGCCATGCTCTCCAGCGACTTTGCACAGAGACTGCAGCATTTGGAGCACCAGCGCCAGCAGCAGCCAGAGCAACAGCAACTGCCGCCGCAGCAGCAACAAGAATGCCCAGTAAAAATGGAAGAGGCTGCTTATCCTCTACTGCGCCACCAAAGCAGTGAAAGCTTTCAGCAGTTTGCAGAAGACCTTGACTCTGCCCTGGCCGAGGGCAACACGTCCGCTGCTGCTGCTGCTGCTGCTGCGGATGAGCCCGTAGGGGCCCTTAATTTAGACGAAGCTGTGCAGCGGCTGGCACTTCTGAACAAGCCTCTCGCAGACGGGCCGATTGAGGAGCCAGCAGCTGTGAAGGAGGAGGATGAGGAGGAGCAGCAGCAGCTGCTGCAGATGAAGCAGGAGCAGCAGACGCCAAAGGCAGCAGCAGCTCTTAAAGATGCAGGCGCCCTCGAAACCGTGGCAGACGAGACATCCGAACAGACCAAGGAGCAGAAGCAGCAGCTGCAGCAACAGAAAAGAACCGCAGCATCAGGCGAAGCTCTAGCTGCCTATTTCAACAGTGTGCGGCAGCTGGAGGAGGCGAGGCATGGTTGCGGCGACCACATGCGCTACGGCAGCAAATCTGAGTGCATCGACACTGCTGTTGCACTGCAGCTGCTAGACGCTGCGCAGCAACAGCAGCACACAGAGGGGGAGCTCCTCAGCAGTGCTTGCTGCAGCTTAAAGCAACAAACAGAAACCAGTGTATCGGGGAACTCCCTGCAGAGCAGCGAACCGGCAGCTCGTGCTGTCTTTCAAGCCGTCTTGGTATCACTGAAGCAGCAGGAGCAGCAGCAGCAGCAGCAGCAGGAGATGCCGAAGCAGCTGCAGCAGCAGCAAGGGTCTGGATTCAGTTGCGAATATGTCGGCGTAACAGATGTGGCTGCTGGTGACACCCTCACCCTCTCCCTGCTGCTCACGCTGCTGCTGCCGACGCAGCGCCTGCTGCTTCCCCGAGTGCAGCAGCTAACCCTACGGGATATCAGCCGCAGCATGGGCACGGGAGCTGCAGCACCAGCTTTAGCAGCTACGGCAAGTAGCGCAGCAACAGCAAACCACGCTGCAGCAGCATGGCAGTGCACTCAGGCAACTTCTGGGACGCTGCAGCCCGAGGGTTTCAACGGGAGCAGCACAGCTTGCAGCAGCCACCGTAGCAGCAAAGGCTGCTGCTGCAGCGGAATTTGCTGCTGCTGTTACGGCAGCGACAGCGGCAGCTGTGTAGAGGAGGCCTCTGCAGAGCGCGAAGAGCTTTCCACTATCGTTCTTGCTGCTGGTCCAGCGGGCCAGGACGCCCCAGCGGAGACGTTGCAGGCGTGCGACGTGTTGGGCCCGCTGCTGCTGTCGCAGCAGCAACAGCTGCAGCAGCAGCAGCTGCAGCAGCGCCAACAGCAGCCGCAGGACAAGCATAAGCAGATTGACGAGGCTGCTGCCGGGGGAACGGGAGAGGAAAGCACTGCCAGCAGCCCGGCAAGCTCCAGCACAAACCTAAGCAGCACAAGCAGTAGCAGCAGCAGCAGCAGCAGCAGCAGCGGCATCAACAGCACCGGCACTCTTTGGGCACGCACTGTCAGCGGCGGCGTAAGCCTCCGAGTGACTTCAGCGGAAGAAGGCAGCAGCGGCGTGGAAAGTGATGGAGAGGGGAGGCCTGCGTCGCCTCTGCAGCAGCTGCAGCAGCAGCCGCTGCTGGCATCACCAGGCGCCTTGCAGCTCCCGGGCAGCGCGCAAGGCCACGATCCCGTCAGCAGCAGCAGCAGCGGCAGCAACAGCAGCAGCGCGCTTGCAGATGCTGAGGGGGACCTCGAGGGCTTTCTTCTGGCAGCGCTGACGCAGCTGACTGGCTTTGTCCACAGAGGGTCTGAGCTCGACGTAGGCATTCCTATTGCTGCAGAGCTGATAGAAGAGGCGGGAGAGGAAATACATGCAATATGCAGAGGTAAGCAGCGCGACCTGAAGCTCAGCCAGATAGCTAGCTGGCTGGCTAGCTGGCTAGCTAGCTAGCTGGCTGCGTCTTCCTCCACGGTAGCCACCGCAATGCAACTGCACATTTCTTCACTGCTTGCACAACCTCTTGGAGAGCCTCTGAGTGTGCAGCTGCCAGTACTGTGTAGTTAGCGATGCAGATGGCTAGCTTTCTTTCTAGCTAGCCAACTAGCTAACATCAGCTTCATCCCTAGCTTGGTGAACAACCTTTGCCCGCTGGAAACGTGCTGCTGATGGTTGCTGTGCTGTTTTCAGTGCCTGCGAACGACAAGGCCTTATCTCCCTTCCGATCGTTGACAGCAGCAGCGACCAGCAGCAGCCAGCAGCAGCAAACTTCTCCACAAGAGTATGCTGCTGCGGCTGACGGGGGGGAGGCGGGCGGCGGCACTCGCTTGGCGTGTACCTGGGCCTCGAGCACTTCCGCACAGCACTTGCAGCAGCAGCTGCAGCAGCAGCAGTCTCAGTCCGAGTTGCGGCTGCTGCCCGCGCTTTTTGCTGGCTTGTACCATACGGGGGCCACAGCAAAGCGTCGTTTGTTTCCTCGGCACCGTGTCGTAACAGCAGCAGCAGCTGCAGCTGCTGCAGCAGCAGCTGCCACTTCTTCTGCTGCTGCTGGCGCCGCCTCGAAATCGAGGGGCCGCAGACAGCAGGCCTCCTCTCCAAGTCACAAACAGCAGCAGCAGGCTGGCGCTCAGCGCCAGTCAGCTTCTTCGCCTGCAGCAAAGGAAGACGGATCCTTTCTGCGACCTACCGCAGCAGGGAGCAGCAGCGGCGCTGGACTTAAGCCTTCTTCTGGCCGCAGCAGCAACCGCAGCGGCAGCAACACCCCCACCGGTGTCTACTTTGATGCAGCGCGGCAACTGTGGAGGTGTCAGTGGAGGTCTGAAGGGCGGTTGCGCAGCAAGGGGTTTGCTGTTGCGCGTTACGGCAGCTCAGACGAGGCTAGAGAGGCGTGCATAGCTTACCGAGAGCTTGTTGTGCATGCAGGTGCTGCAGCAGCAGAAGCAGCAGCAGAAGCGGCGGCTGCAGCGGCGGCAGGAGCCCTCGCAGGAGCAGCAGCAGCAGCTGCCGAAGCTGAGCCAAAGGCAGGTGCACAGCGTGCCACAGACAAATCTCCCACAACGGCGGTATCGCCTGTACAAGCAGCAACAACAGGAAGAGCAGCAGTAGCAGCAGCAGCAGCAGCAGCAGCGGTGGATGAGATAAAGCAACAGAGGTCGCCTACGTGGAAAGCAGCGAGCAGCAACAGCAACGTCTGCAGCACTGCTGAGGCTCTAGCGGCCCCGCAGCTACTTCATCATGGCGGCTTGCTTAAACATAGCGTGGCAGCGCTGCCGGCACCCGCTGTAGCAGCAAGTGCAGCAGCAGCACAGGCAGCGCTGGCTGCAAGTTTACAACGCGCAACAGCAGCGCCAGATGCACTAGCAGGGAGCTCACTGCGCGAGACGGGCAGCAGCGAGAGCAGCAGCAGCGGGCCCTACATGAATCCACAAGCTGCTCCGGCTGCTCCTGCTCTGGTCACTTCAGCAACAGCAACAGCAACAGCAGCAGCAGCAGCACTTCAAGGCGAACGACTGATAGAGTTCGCTGGGGACATTTTAGCTTTGCTAAATCGCGCGAAAGAAGTGGCGGCTGTGGAGAAGCAGCTTCAAGAGCAGCGCCTGCAGATGCAGCAACAGCACCAGCAACGCCGGCAACAGCAACAGGAGGAGTCATCGGCTACGCCTGCTGCTACATCAGCAGCAGAGAGAGATAGGCAGCAGCTTCGGCACATGCTCGTGTCGCAGCTAGAGCACGCGCTGCAGCAGCAGCAGCAACGCATGCAACAGCTGCAGGTGTTAGGGGACATCGACCTGAGGCAGCAGCGAATGTCGGGGCAGGAGGGGGTGTTGCAGCAGCAGCAACAGCAGCAGCAAATGCTTCTCCACAGGGTTGCGGCACTGAGCAGGCAGGCTGTGCAGCAGCTGCAGGAAGTGCTGCAGACTCTGCTGCAGTTGCCGTTGCAGCAGCAGCAGCTACCTCCGCAGCAGACGCTGCAACAGGAACAAGCGCCGCAGCCAGCGCAGCAACACTTTTCACCCTGGGAGGGTGCCTCGGCAGCAGCAGCAAGTGCAGCAGCCAGTGGGGTGGTGGAGCAGCAACGAGAGCGCGCAGCTTTTGCCTCAGCAGCTGCACCTCTTGAAGGTCAGCAGAGACCGAAGAGGGAGGAGGCAGGCAACGCAGCAGCCGCATCGGCAGCACCAGCAGCAGCAGCACCAACGGCAGCAGCAGCAGCAGCACACGACGAGGGAGTTCCAGCGAAAAGGCTTCGCGTTGCCCTGGACGGCCTCGCAGGCGCCTGAGGCAGGCGCTGCTTCTGCTGCAGGTGCGGTCGGTGCAAGGGTAAAGGTAAAACCGTGCTCTTTCTGAGCATCCGCAGCAGCAAAACAACAAATGCAGTAACAGCAGCAGTAGCAGTAGCTGCTGAGCAGCTGTTGCTGTACCGGCAGCAGCAGCTGCTATTGCATCTGTCGCTGCTACGTCAGCTGCAGCGCACAGAGACAGGACATTCTCTACAAACCCTGTTGGCTGTCCAGCCGGTTCCCAAGGGGATTATACAGCAGCAGCAGCAGTAGCAGCGACAGAAGCAGCAGCAGGTCCAGCGAAAGCAACTGGCCTTTTTTGTTGGTAATTTCCGGGTTTGCTTGCTTCGTGGGATCTGGGGCTTTCCTGTTTGTGCCAAGCGGTGGCCCGCCTGCAGGCCTTCATGCACAAGTGCATGCATGCGGGCCCCGCAGGCGTGCATGCATGCACTTGTGCATGCAGCGGGGCCTCCGCGCATGCACTTTTGCATGCGCTGTTGGGGCCCTGCTGGGTCCCTGGAGCCTCAGGGCAGCCAGTTAGGGAGCCAAACTGCCGCAGCGCCTTAAAACAGTGTTTCGGGTAGCGGGGGGTTAAGTGCAGGACTTAGCCTAGAACAATAGGGCCTGAGTCCTTAGGCTTCTTAAGTGCAGCAAACAGGCTTTTGATTGCGCAGGGTTGCTGCAGCAGCAGCTGCTGCTCTACAGCTCATTTCTTAGGCTTCTCCAGTGCAGCAAACGGCCTCCGGATTGCGCAGGGCTGCAGCAGCAGCAGCGGCTGCTTTGTAGCTGAGTCCGTAGGCTTCTTGAGTCCAACAAGCGGGCTTTTGAGTGCGCACGGCTGCTGCTGCTGCAGCTGTTGCTTTCGAGGCCGCAGCCGCAGCAGCAACGGCAGCAGCAATACTGGCAGCTCCCTTGCCAGCCGCCAGCAGGAGTATGCTTATGCAGCAACTGCTTCTGCTATGGTGGCAGAAGCAAGCACACGATGCATATGCTAGCTTTTCTGCTAAAGGCAGCCCTCTGGAAAAGTGCAAACGCCGAACTCCAAGAAAATGGAGCAGCAGCGGCTGCTGTAGCAGCATCCACTGCAGCTGCTCGAGCAGCAGGTAGAACTGCAGCAGCAGCAGCTGCAGCAGCAGTTCTACCTGCTGCTGCAGCTGCACTGCTGCTGCAGCAGCTGCTGCAGCAGTTGCTGCAGCAGCTGCTCCCCGCCGTAGCGAGAACGCCTTAGAGCGCCAGAGGCGGACTTTAATGCCGAGTACTCTGTGCCTGGCCTCAAGATTAATGCAGCAAGAAGATGCAGCAGGAACACTAAAGGACTTTAGCTGCCTGTTTTGCTCTTTGCAACTCTCTGTTTTGCTGCTGACTTGGCAGCTTCTGGCGCTGCTGCGCTGCCCCCAGGTCCGTCAGGGCCCTGCGCCGCCTCTGGCGGCCTTGCCGCAGCTCCCGGCTGTGAGCTGAGCTGTGTGCTGTGCGCAGCAGCTGCTGCGCTGCGGCTGCAGCTGCCTGAGCTACTGCGCAGCTGCTGCAGCTGCCTGAGCTGCTGCGCTGCTGCTGCAGCTTCCTAAGCTGCTGCGCAGCTGCTGCGCTGCTGCTGCGGGTGCCTGAGGGGAGCAGAGGGGTAGGGGAGTGCTGCGGCTTACAGCAAAGCGGCTCAACGCCTAAACCCTAAACCCTAAGCCCTAAACCCTAAGCCTTCAGCTTAGCCCTTAAGCTTCAAACCATTGCTTGAGCCAGCTAAGCTTCTTTAGTGCATATACACCGCACGAAGCGCTGTCTAGAGACCCCGATGCTGCTGTTCGCCAGCTCCTAGGCCCTCAGGCAGCTCGCTCTAATTAGGAGCAGCAAAGCAGCAGCAAAACAGCAGCAGCCAAACAGCAGCAGCAGCAAAGCAGCAGCACCCGTTGCTGCTGCGCCCGGGGGCACTCAGAAATCCACACAGCGCCACAGCAGCTAAGTCCTAAACTCGAAACACTAGCTCTAAAGTCCCAAGAGCCCTGGCCCCAAAGGCCCACTTGCAAAAGAGCCCCCAATTACTCTTTAGGAACAGCTGCTGCCTTAGTTTGAACCCCACATGCAGCAACACGAAAAAACTGCAGCGCGGCGGAGCCGCAGCTAGAGGATATCCCTCCCTTGGGGTGTACGTACACCTCAGAGCCCCAGCGTCTTGCTGCCCAACACTCCCAAGACACTGCAACAAACCACTAACTGCACTCAGAGCTGTTGCCTACAGCCACGCGTACACTCTGCTGCAGCGCAGCCGAGCTGCTGCACCCTCTCTCCGCAGTGGCCAGTGCGTCTTCTGCTGAGTCATTGAGGGGCCTCAGCAGCAAAGAAGCAGCAGTAGAAGCAGTAGCTGCTGCTGCTGCTGCCGCGGCGGCGGTGTGTAGCACTGCGCACCTGACCAGCGGGCGCAGTCGGCGGCGTATTCGCCAGCTCTCTCGATCCCCCCACAAAATTGAGCCTTCTTTCGGCTATTAAGTGCTTTAGGACCACAAAATTGGCCTAAATTCGGCAAGTGCGGGAAGCAGCAGCAGCAGCTGCTACGGATGCCATGGCGGCTGCAGCAGCAGCGGCCGCAGACTGTGCATGCGGCGGTCAGGCCTGACAGGAGCCGCTACAGCAGCTGCTGCACGTAACCCCAATTTAGTAAGTTGGTTTATCTGTTTTTAGAGGGAGGACGCAGAGAGAAGCACTCTCTTGAGCCTGCAGCAGCAGCAGCAGCGGGCCAACCCGCCTTAGGTGCTGCGCGCAGCAGCTCATCAGCCAAAGGGGCCCTTAATCGACTTTGTGCGGTGTAGAGACACCTCGGACCAGCGCAGCCGCGCAGACGGATCCCATATGCTGCTCAAGAGTTGCTGCCAGTAGAACTGACAAAGGCGCTTGCTGGAGGCGGGCCCAGCAGCAGCAGCAGCAGCAGCGGGAGCAACTGCAGCAGCAGCAAGGAGCAGAGGAGAAACAGTGGCAACCGGGGGCTTTTGCTGCTGCTGCAGCAGCAACGGCTGGCGCAGCACTGGCTGATGGGACAGCCGCAGCCCTAGCGGAGCAGCAACAACTGCTACGGCTCCCCAGGAGCAGCAGCAACAGCACCAACGGCAGCGGAAGCGGACCTTGAACAATCTTACGTGAAAAGGCATCAAGGCTGCAGCAGCCGCTGCGCGCAAATCAGAAGCAGCAGCAGCTGGAAGGCAGAGCAGCAACGTTGCTGCAACTAATGGGATGCGACATTCCCCGCGCAGCCTTGCTGCTGCTGCCGCTGGGAGCAGCAGCAGCAGCAGCAACAAGTCCCCTCCAGGAGCAACTGGAGGGGCATCTTCAGATGGGGTTCAAAACCCTGACGGCAGCCCTGCAGCAGCAGCGTCGGCAGGTGGAGCAACACCAGCGGGCCCAGCAGCAGCAGCAGCAGCAGCAGCCGATGCAGCAGCACCCGTGTCGCCTAGTGCAAAAACTTGCAGCCAACCGGTAGGCGCTGCTGCTGCTTCCCGCCGCAGCAGCAGCGCGGCGGCCTCCCCTGCTGCTGCGGGCTCGGGGCCAGGCGCAGCAGCGTCACGCGCAGCAGCTGCAGCCGCAGGCGCAGCAGCAGCAGCAGGCGCAGCAGCAGCAGCAGCAGCAGCAGAAGAGCTGGAGTGCAGCGTCTGCTTCGTGAAGGGGTCTGAGCCCCACAACACTATTGTCGTCTGCAGCGGCTGCGGCGCTGCTGTTCACCAGTACTGCTATTCTCTCTACACTTTGCCGCAGGCGCCGTGGCTTTGCTGCCTCTGCAGCTGGAAGCAAAAGCAGCAGCAGCAGCAGCAGCAGCAGGGCGCTTCCGGCCCTGCAGCAGCAGCGGCTGCTTCCCCAGGCGAGGGGAGCAGGGCGGCTGCTGCTGCTGCTGCTGCCCCGCTGGCGTCGCCGCAGCAGCAGCACTCCCAGCCGGGGGCCTCCCCAGAGCACCGCAGCAGCAGCAGCAGCAGCAGCAGCAGCAGCAGCAGCAGCGATGAGGTGTGCCGGCTGTGCCTGCGGGGCGGCGGGGCCATGCGCGTGGGGGAGGAGCGGCTGTGGGTGCACAGCTGCTGCGTGCTGTTTGCTTCTGGGGGCCCCCATTTTCGGCAGCAGCTGCAGCTGGACTCTCCTGCTGCAGTTGCTGCTTCTGTGTCAGTTGCTGCAGCAATGGGCTGGAGCTGCTGCTTCTGCGGCAAGGGCGGCTTCCCAGTCGCCTGCGCCTTCCCCGGCTGCAGCAGCCGCATGCATGTCACCTGTGCCAAAGCAGCAGGCTGCTGCTGCTGCTGCTGCACTGTCTGGGCGGGGCCCCTCGAGGGCCAGGGCACTGACACAGCTTGGCGGGCTGTTTTCTGTCTGCAGCACAGCAGCAGCGAGGCTGTCAGCCAGGCGCGCTTGGCGCTGAAGAAGCAGCCACAGCAGGAGGCCAGCAGCAGCAGCAGCAGCAGCAGCAGCAGCAGCAGCAACGCTGCAGCAGCAGCGGCCGCCGCGGGGCCGCCCGCAGCAGGGGCGCCGCCGGTCGCCGCAGCAGCACCAGCTGCAGCACCCAACGCGCCTGCTGACGATTCTGCGCAGCGGCTGCTGCAGCAGCAGCTGCAGCTGCAGCAGGATGCAGCAGCTGAGCGGCAGAGGCAGCAGCAGCTGCAGCAAGCGCTGCCAAACACCCCGCAGCAGATTCTCTCCGCTGCGCGCGACTTGTCGGGGCAGCAGCAGCAGCAGCAGAAGCTTGCCCTGACTCCGCAGCAGCAGCTCTACGTACATCAGCAGTATCTCCAGCAGCAGTTCTTGCAGAAACAATACTTGCAACAACACTTGCTGCAGCAACACTTGCTGCAGCAGCAACTCCTTCAGCAGCAGCAGCAGCTGCTGCAGCAGCATTACTTGCAGCAGAAACAACAGCAGCAGGACTCCCTTCCACCTACAGCAGATGGCACTGCACCCGTTGCTGCGGACGCAGGGGACTCCTCAGCTGCCGCCGGGAGCGGCGCTGCTGCTGCTGCTGCTGCTGCTGCTGAGAGTGCAGCAGCATTGACAGCAGCAGCCCCTTTTCCCTATGGAGGTTCTGCCAGCGTGGCCCCGCAGCCTGTCTCCGGGCCAGTTGCGCCTGATGCAGCAGCAGCAGCGGGGGAACAGCAGCAGCGGGTGTTTGCTCAGTCGCAGCAGCAGCTGCAGCAGCTGCATCAGCAGCAGCAGCAGGCCATGCGACTTGGGACGCCAGTAGGGCCTGGCTCAGGCCCTGCTGCTGCTGCTCGGCCGTTTGCTGCTGGGCCTCTGTACGCAGCAGCAGCAGCAGCAGCAGCGCCTGCAGCTGCTTCGCTTATTATGAGCCCTGCAGGATCGCCGCTGCTGCCTACGCTGCCTCCGCAGGCAGGAGCAGCGGCAGTGGCAGCAGCAGCAGCCGCAGCAGCAGCAGCAGGGGGCCCTGCAGCAGTTCCGGCACCTCCAGGCGCTCCGGCGGCCACAGCGGGAACTGCAGCAGCAGCAGGAATGCTTGGAAGAGCTGCAGCAGCGGGCACTCCAGCAGCAACCCCGGCAGCAGCAGAAGTTGCAGCAACGGGAGGAAAGGGCGGCGCTACGCGGGGCCTGCGGGCTCGCGGCCGGCAGTCAGCAGCAGCAGCAGCAGGCCCGCAGCAGAGAGGCAGCAAGTCCTTCTCACGCATTTCGCCAGACGGCGCAGCAGGAGAAGCAGCAGCAACAGCTGCTGCTGCTGCTGCTGCAGATAACCTCAGCGTTACGAGTGGGGGCGGCGGGGGCTCGGGGCCTTCGGGTGGCGACCGGGACATGCTGAAGGGCCCCTGCAGCAGCACGGTGAAGAAGTCGCCCGGCAGCAGCAGCAGCAGCAGCAGCAGCAGCAGCAGCAGCAGCAGCTCGAGCCGCGGCAGCCGCCTGCAGTGGAGCCGCTTCGACGGCCTCTTCCGGCGGATCCCCGTGGGGCCTTTTGCTGCTGATGTCTCCAGGGCCTTCAAGGAGGGGCCTGAGCGGCAGCAGGCGCTGCAGGAAGCAAAAGCAATAGAAGCAACTTTGCTGCAGCCAGCCTGCGCCCCTGCTGCAGCAGATTTGCTGCTGCCGGCGCAGGAGGACCTCGACGCGCTGCAGCAGCTGCTGGACCTGCACGCGCAGGTCATCCGCGAGGCTCGCGAGAAAGCCAGGGCCAGGAAACAAGCCAGCAGCAGCAGCAGCAGCAGCAGCAGCAGCAGCAGCAGCAGCAGCAGCACGGAGGCTGTGGATGTGGACATGCCCGTGACGGCGCTAATCGACTTCGGCTCTGTGGCTGCTTGGTGCTGCTTCGAATTTGTAGAGAATCAACAAGGAGCTTCTCACTCTGCGCAGCTGCTGGACTCGCTGTGCAGCAGCGGCAGAGACGCCATCAGCAGCAGCAGCAGCAGCAGCAGCAGCAGCAGCGACGGCGGCAGCGGGAGCTTCGTTTTGGACGACGCAGCCATCAGGGAGTACTTGCGCAAAGTCGTTGCGCCAGCGCTCGCGCAGCAGAAGGGCGAGGGATCTGCTGCTGCTGCTGCTGCTGCTGCTGCTGCTGGCCAGGATCCCGCAGCAGCTGATCGCGACAGCAGCAGCAGCAAATATGAGGCCCTTGCTTCGCAGCTCTCTGTAAGGGCCTTCAAAATCCTCACAAGTTACCAGCTGGCTTTTTGCCGCCGCCACTTGCAGCGTCTGCAGCTGCCAGCAGACGGGACAGCTCCTAATCTCAGGGCTCTGTTGGAGCAGCAGCTGCAGCAGCAGCAGCAACAACTGCAGCAGCAGCAAGAACAGCTGCAGCAGCAGCAACAGCAGAAGCAGCAACAGCAGCAGCAGCAACAGAAAGACGCGGCCAATGCGGCGGAGGTGGTGGGGCAAGAGACCCACAAAAAGGTTTGCTCCCCTGCCGCTTCGCCTGCTGCAGCAGCAGCAGCTGCTGATGCAACAGCAGCAGCAGCAACAAAGTCAACGCCGACAGGCAGCGAGGTAGAACCTTCCTCAGGAGAGGAGACCCGAAGTGCCCAGATGGAGGTCGACGGCGCAGAAGCTCCTTTGAGGCAGCAGGACGAGAAGCAGCAGCAAGAACAGAAGCAGCAGCAGGAGCAGAAGCAGCAGCAGCAGCAGGAGTCTGCAGATGGCGGTGCCACGGGCAGCAGCAGCAGCAAGGACGAAGCTGGGGCCACCGCTGGAACGGCAGGCTGCAGCTCCTCCCCCAGCGGGCCTCCAGAAGCCCCCGCAGCTGCAGCTGCTGGCGCTGCTGCCAGCAGCAGCAGCAGCGGCAGCAGCAGCAGCAGCAGCGCAGGCGCGGCTTCTCTTGTTGAGGTGGCGGGCCACCGGTGGTATTGGGGCACCCCCGGAGACAATAAAGAAACTGGAGACTTTGTGGGGTCCCAGTGCATGCAGTTTCTGCAGGTGAGAGGTTTGGGGTGTACGTACACCTCATTGCTGCTGCAGCAGGCGGCGCCGTGGCCGCTCTGTGCGCTGCTGCTGCGGCGTCTGTTGCTGCCCCGTGGACTTGGGTGCATTTAAGTTGATTGGAATGCATTTAAATGTATTTTATTTGTTTTTAAATGTACTTCATTTATTTAAAAGTGCTAAATAATGAATACAAATCTGTGAAGAGGCACTGAGAACAGCTGCAAATGGCAGCACGGCCAGAAACCAGTCGGCAAGGCGGAAGCTGCGGCTGCCGCTCCTCGCGTGGGCTGCTGCAGTTTGCCGCTGCTGCTGCTGCTGCTGCTGCTGCATGAGCGTTCTGCCGCTGCTGCTGCTGCTGCTGCTGCAGGTGGGCCGCGTGCTGGCGCGGGACCTGAACCAATACAAGACTTCGTTGCTGAAGAACATTTTAGAAGAAAACCAAACGGCGCTGCGGCTCTCCGAGCGCGCAGATGTCATGGAAACTTTGCTGCTGCGCTACGCAGACATGGAGCGTTGGGGCCATTTGCGTCGCGCGGTTTGCGCGGGGCTGCGGGACCTGCCGCTCCCGCCCTTCTTGCCTGCTGCTGCTGCTGCTGCTGCTGCTGCAGCGCCAGCAGCGGCGCCCGCGGGGTCACCCGCGGCGAGGCAGCAGCAGCAGCAACAGCAGCAGCAACAGCAGCAGCAACAGCAGCAGCAGCAGCAGCAGCAGCAACCGCAGCAGCAGCGACCGGGGGACACACAAGGCAGCCCGCAAGGCAGCGCGCAGCACGGGGAAGCCAGGACGGAAGCTCAGGCTGCGGGGGCCACCGAGGCCCAGGCAAAGCCAAGCAACAGCAGCAGCAGCAGCAGCAGCAGCAGTGGCAACAGCAGCGGCAGCAGCAGCGACGGCAGCAAAGACAAAGACACGGCTGCAGCGCTGGAAGCCGTCGCGCAGCAGTTTGCAGAAGCAGCTGGAAAAAGCCAAGGGGGCAGCCCCGAGCAGCAGCTGCAGCAGCAGCGGCAGCTTTTCAATCAGCAGCCAGAGCCTGCGCCGGAGGAGGGCCCTCCTGTGAGCGATCTCGCGGAGGCGGCAGAGGAAGCAGCGGCGGCAGCAGCTGCTGCTGCTGCTGCAGACTCTGGCAGCGCAGCAGCAGCAGCACTGAAGCTGTACGAGCAGCAGGAAGGCATCCTTCCCAAAGAAAATGCAGCAGTCGCTCCCAGGCCCCCGTTGAGAGGTTTGCTGCGAGGCGTAGATGCGCCGCGTGGCCTAGATTCGCCTGCAGCAGCAGCAGCAGCCCCGACGTAAGCCCTTGCTGCTGCTGCTGTTGTCTCTGTTGTCTTTCTGCTGCTGCTGCTGTGGTGCGCTATTCCGGCTGCTGGACTTGGGGTGTATGCGCAGCTCGTCCGCGGCGTCCGAGCGGCAGCGAAGTTCGTCTCGCGCCGCCGCTGCTGCTGCTGCTGCTGCTGCTGCTGCTGCTGCTGAGACCTCGACCCCCGCAGCAGCAGCAGCAGCAGCTCCCCCGCGTGGCGAGTCGCGCGCTGCTTCCCCGGTGCCGTCCTCCGGGGCCGCCTCTGCGTCTGCGTCCGCGTCGCGCCGCAGCAGCAGCAGCAGCAGCAGCGTGGCGTCAGTGAGCGCTGCGGCTTCGCCGCCCACCCCGCCCGCCCCCAGCAGCAGCAGCAGCAGCAGCAGCAGCAGCAGCTTTCTGCTGTGCGGGGGCGCGCTGGGCGTGGGCTACGAGTTCGTCTGCTGCTGCGTCTGCTGGGGCAGCGAAGGCTCCGCTCTCAACCCGCTGCTCTCCTGCGTCCGCTGCCTCTTTTGCTGCCACAAAAACTGCTACGGCGTTGGCCGCCTCGGCGAAGCCCTCGAGCCCGAAGACTGGATTTGCCGCCGCTGCGAAGTCGACAAGAGGGCCCTCGGCACCCAGTGGATGGCCGTCTTCAAGCCCATGCACCCCAAGTGCCTCGTCAGCAACGCTGCTGCTGCTGCTGCTGCTGCTGCTGCTGCTGCTGCTGCTGCTGCTGTTGCTGCTGCTGATGGTGCTCATGGTGGTGGTGGTGCTGCTGCTGGTGGGGGTGGGGGTGGGGATGTTCTGATTCTGCTGCTGCTGCTGATTCTGCTGCTGCTGCTGCTGATTCTGCTGCTGCTGCTGCTGATGATGAAGTTGCTGCTGCTGCTGCTGCTGCTCAGATTTGCTGCCGCGGGGGCGGGGCGCTGAAGCCGAGCACGAGCGGAGGCTGGGTGCACATATTTTGCTGCTTGTTTTTGATGCCGGAGGCGATTTGCGCGGAGCTGCAGCGGCTGGAGCCTTGGGACTTGGCGGGAGTTGCTGCGTGGCGTTTTGCTGCTGCTTGCTCGCTGTGTGGGGTCTCGGGGGGCGCCTGCGTCCGCTGCTGCCACTTGGGGTGTACAGACACCTTCCACCCCATGTGCGCCTGGCTCGCCGGCCTCCACTGCGCTGCTGCGCCGCTCCCCGGCCTTTTCCTCGCAGTCCGCGGGGCCCTCGACCACTGCTTCCCCAGACTCAAAGTCACTGTCTTTTGCTTCCGACACACCCCGGAGGCCCCCGGAGTCAGGTCAGTAACCCGACAGCCTCTCTCCACGCGACGGCGGCCCCAGCGAGCCCCAGAGGGCCCCGGGGGGCCCCCGGGGGGCCCCAGTGGGCCCCTGGGGGGCCCCAGGAGGCCCCTGGGGGGCCCCAGGGGGCCCCTGGGGGGCCCCAGGGGGCCCCTGGGGGGCCCCAGGGGGGCCCCTGGGGGGCTCAGGGGTCCCTAGGGGAGCTCAGGGGGGTGCCCAGGGGGACAAAGGAGGGCCCCACGGGGACTCGCGGGGGCCCCAAGGGGCCTCAGGGCGCCCCAGGAAGTCTCAGGGGGCCCAGGGGGCCCCAGGGGACCCCTAAGGGGGACATAAGGGGCTTTAAGGGGCTTCTCATGGAGAGATTAGAAGAAAGCCCCAAGGTGGGCTGGGGTGGAGGCTTGGCGGCTTGCGGCATAGTGGCTGTGCCTGCTGTTTGCTGCTGTCTGCTGCTGTGTGCTGCTGCTTGCTGCTGCTTGCTGCTGTTTGCTGCGGCTGCAGGCGCAGCTGCGCCCTTCAGGCTGTCCTGCGCGCCCGCCGCTACGTGACTCGAGACCATTTCCCAGAACTGCATGCACTGAGTGAGAGGAAGGGGGCCTTTTTCCTGAAGCGCGCGCTGCCTGCTGCTGCTGCTGCTGCGCGCCGCAGCACGGCAGCAGCAGCAGCAGCAACAAGCTCTCCCGTCAACAGCGGCGCAGCTGCAAGCACCCCCACTAAGGCGCAGCTGGCTGCCACTGCCGCGTCGCCCGCAGGCACCGGGGGCTCTGCTGTTGCTGCCTCCACTCGGCGCTCTGCAGCAGCAGCAGCAGCAGCAGCGGCAGCAGCAGCAGCAACGCCGCATGCAGCGGGCAGCAACAGCGCTGCGCAGACCCCTGCAGTTGCGGGGCCGGGACCCAACAGCCTCTCGGCCGGCCGAGTCCTTTCTTCACCTGCTGCAGGCAGCATGAACGGCACAGCAGCAACAGCAGCAGCAGGAGCAGCAGCAGCTGGCGCTGCTGCCGGCGGCCCGGGGCTGACAAAGGCCGGGGAAAGCCCCGCAGCAGCAGCAGCAGCAGAGGACGCGGCGGAGAAGGCCTTGCTTGATGAAGTGGACTTTTATCAAGACCATTGCTGCGCTGTTTGTTTGCTGCCAAAAGTTACAGCCAGCAGCAGCAACCCGTTTTTCTACTGCGCGAAGTGTGGGGTGTCTGTACACCGCATGTGCTACGGGGTGCCCTTGGAATGCTTGCCTGCTGCGCTGCGTCCCGATCTGCAGCAGCAGCAGCAGCAGCAGCAGCGGCAGCAGCAGCGGCAGCGGCAGGACGCGCAAGGAGCGTCTGCGAAAAGGCAGAAACAGACAGCAAGCACACAAGACACCAGCAGCAGCAGCAGCAGCAGCAGGACGGCGGTCGCCTCGCCCGACGGCCGAGACAGCAGCAGCAACTGCAGCGGCAGCACATGCAGCAGCAGCAGCAACACAGCGGCGACACCTGCGGGGATCCAGAGAGGCTCGAAGCGGCCTCATTCTGAAGTAGGCGGGGCTGCAGCAGAAGATAGCAGCAGCAGCAGCAGCAGCAGCAGCAGCGCGGCGTATGTGCCGGTGCCGTTCCTCTGCGAGCCTTGTCGCTACGCGCCCAACAGGGACGAGGTGAGACTGCAGCTTCCACAGAAATAGGTCGTTTGCTGCTGCTGCTGCTGCCGCTGCTGTTGCAGCAGCAGCAACAGCTACCCTTTCTTCCTCTCTAGAACTGCAGCTGCTGCTGCTTTCTCTGTTTGCTGCTGCTGTTTGCTGCAGGTGTGCTGCATGATTTGCCCTCGCCGCGGCGGCGCCCTGAAGCTGGCGCTGCCTGCTGCTTCTGGCTACACGCCGGAGACGGTGGCGGCAGCGCCTGCTGCTGCTGTTGCTGCTGCTGTTGCTGCTGCTGTCAGGAACAGCAAAGAGGAGCCGCTGCAGTTCGTTCACATGCTGTGCGCTCTCTGGACTCCGGGAGTGGAAGCAGCAGAGACAGACAGCCTCTCGCCAGTTGTGGGGGTTGACCTTGCGCTGCAGAGCCAGCTGCAGCAGACGCCGTGCAGCAGCAGCAGCAGCAGCAGCAGCGGCGGTGGCGTGGAAAAGACGGATGCTGTGAGGCAGCAGGAGCAGCAGGAGCAGCAGCAGCAGCCGCAGCAGTCCCCCGCTGCGTCGGTTGTATCGAGCGGCGCGGAGGCGCCAGCAGCGGCTGCTGCAGCAGGCGCCAGCCCGCAGCCGCAGCAGCAGCAGCAGCAGCAGCAGCCCGCGGACGCGGGCAGCAGCCGCAGCCGCGCGGCCTGCAGCGTCTGCGGCCTCGCCTCCGGGCTGCTGCTGTCTTGCTGCAGCCCCGGCTGCGCTGCTGCTTTCCACGCGCTGTGCGCGCAGCTGCGCGGCTGCTTCATGGAAATGGCAGAAAACTCTTCTGCTGCTTCTTTTACTGCCACCGCCTTTTGCCTCCAGGTGCGCCGACGCGGGGTGTACAGACACCTGCTGCGCTGTACAGACACCTGCTGCGCTGTACAGACACCTGCTGCGGTGTACAGACTGGGGTGTACAGGCAGCTGCTGGGGTGTACAGGCAGCTGCTGGGGTGTACAGGCAGCTGTGGGGTGTACAGGCAGCTGCTGGGGTGTACAGGCAGCTTCTGGGGTGTACAGGCAGCTGCTGGGGTGTACAGGCAGTTGTTGGGGTGTACAGGCAGCTGCTGGGGTGTACAGACACCTGGGGCAGCTCTGGCCGACTGAGTGGTGTGTGCTGCTGCCCTTCTTGCCTTCTGCTATTCTCTCTCTAGTGGCATCAAGGGTTTAGGGTTTGGGGTTCTGGGTTTAGGCTCTAGGGTTTAGGGTTTGGGGGTGCATGTTCAATGTGCTGCTGCTGCTGCTGCTGCTGTCGTTTGCTGCCGCAGCACTCTCAAACGCGCAATCAAATATCCTACAGCGTTCGCCTGCTGCTACGGCTTCGCTCCTTCCTAGAGCTCGTAAGCGCCTGAGCAGCAATAGCAGCAGCAGCAGCAGCAGCAGCAGCAGCACGCCGAGCAGCAGAAATCGCAGCAGCAGCAGCAGCAGCAGCAGCTCTAGGTTTGCCACGCAGTCAGTAGCTCGTGATTTGGGTGCCCATCGGAAGATGGCCACCCGGCAGCACAAGTTATTGCTGCTGTTGCTGCTGCTGCTGCTGACGCTGCTGCTGCTGCTGCTGCTGCTGTGCTGCAGTCACGAATGCTTGTGGGCGCTGTCTCTGAGCGCGAGCATAGCAAGAGGCTGTACATTCAGCAGCGGCGGAAGAGCCTTGCTGCTGCCTATCCTCTCCGCCCTTCAGAAGGCGGTGACCTCGTCTCAGGCCAGCAGCAGCAGCAGCAGCAGCAGCAGCAGCAGCAGCAGCAGCAACTATGAGGGAGGCGAGGACGACTTCGGGGTCGCTGAGGGGTTATTTCTAGACGATGCGACTGATGATGAAACAGTCAGAAAAAATTATATTTCTTTTTTTGTTTCGGGCTCCCCTGAGGCCTCAGCAGCAGCAGCAGCAGATTCTGCAGGTGGCGCTGCAGCAGCAGCAGAAGAAGCAGCAGCAGCAACTCGAGAGCTGCTGCCCTTGCTGAACTCACCGCATCCGGAAGCAGCAGCAGCTGGTCTTGCGGCACAGCAGCAGCAGCAAAGTGAAGTGCCCTGCAGCTGCTGGTGCAAAACAGGGCCGCCAGCAACAGCAGCAGCAGCAGCAGCAGCAATGGCAGCAGGTGCAGCAAGAGACGCCGTTGCTGCCTGTCCAGCTGCCGTAAGGAGTTACCTTGTTGGTGCAGCAGCATTAATGGCGCTTGTTCAGCAGCTGCGGCTGTTTCTTGTGCGGCAGCCGCTGCAGCAGCTGCAGCAGCTGCAGCAGCAGCAGCAGCACCGAGACGGTGCCGCTGCAGCGGGGCCAGACGGAGACACAGCGGCGTCTCACCGTCTAAAGGCAGCCTCAGGCGCTCCCTGCACTACAGCAGCACCTGCAGCAGCAGCAGCAGCAGCAGCAGCAGCAGCAGCAGCAGCAGCAGCAGCAGCGTGGCCCCTGGATGACGACAGCAGCTACGTTATGGAGCTCGCGGGCCTCCGCCCTTTGCTGTCGCCCCTCATGAGGGGCCTCAGCAGCGAAGGTTTGCTGCTGGAGCTGCATGCTGCTGCAAAGTGCTGCAGCTATCCTTGCTGGTGCTGCTTCGTGGCTGCAGTTCGAGGCAGCAGCAGCAGCAGCAGCAGCAGCGGCAATTGCGGTGCTGCTACTGCTTCTGCTGCCCATGTTCCGGCATCTTATGATGCTGCAGCTGCAGCACAGACCCCGCAGCTGCAGCACAGAGGAACGCTCTCTGCTGCTGCTGCTGCAGCTGCTGCTACTGCTGCGCGGGAACTCGCCGCACAGCAACTGGGTTTCTGGACAGACTCTGTTGTTGCTGCTCTTCGTGAGGCAGCAGCAGCAGCAGCAGCAGCAGCAAGCAGCGCAGGAAGCGCAGCTGCGCATGCGGAAGCTTGCGCCGCTGGGGCAGAAGTGCTGCAGCGGCTGCTGCACCCCAGCAGCAGCAGCTGGACTGCTGCTGCTGCCGCTGCAGAGAGGGTGCTGCCTCCAACAGAGTGGCGGGGAACTATAAGACGAGTAAGGGGAAAGGCTGAAGCAGCAGCAGCAGCAGCAGCAGCAGCAGCAGCAGCAAAACCAGCGCCAGTAGCAGTAGCAGGGACAGCAGCAGGAGCAGCGGCAGCAGCAGTAGAAGAGAGAGCAACAGCAGCTGCAGCAGCAACACGGGCAAAAGTAGAAGTGGCAGAAAAAGCAGCAGCAGCGGTTGCAGTAGCAGTAGTAGAGGAAGCAGAAGCAGCAGCAGCAGTGGCAGCAGCAGAGGAAGCAGCAGCAGCACCAGCAGCAGCAGCAAATCCAAGCAGCTTGAGAGGCAGGCTCAGAGGCAGCTGGATCTCTAGAGTAAAAACGAAATAAATAGAATTAATGAATTTAGCAGCTCATCTTTCAGCTGCTGCTGCTGCTGCTGCTGCTGCTGTTGCTGCTGTTGCTGCTGCAGGGCGCAGCAGCCATTGGCCGCCGCGTGGCTCTGTACTCTCCTTACATGGACGTTTGGTACGGAGGCCTGATTGTCTTCTGTGACAGCAGCAGCAGCAGCAGCAGCAGCACGAGCAGCAGCAGCAGCACGAGCAGCAGCAGCAGCAGCAGCTGCTGCAGCAGGGGGCCCCAGGGGCCCCGGTACCTCGTGGCTTACGACGACGGCGACTGCGCGTGGGCGCAGCAGGAAGGAGCAGCAGATTGTTTTCTTTTTGCTGCAGCAACAGAAGACAAGCCTTTGTGAGTTTTTTTTGTTTTTGATCTTTTTTGATTCTTTTTTGATCTTTTTTGATTCTTTTTTGGTCTTTTTTGATTCCTTTTTGGTTCTTTTTTGATTCGTTTTTATTCCTTTTTCGATTTTTATTTCTTTTTTATTCCTCTTTTGTTTCTTCTTAATTTCCTTTTTTGTTCTTTTTGGCTTTTTTCGCATCTTTTTGTCTTTTTCCTTTTGCTGCTCTTTTTTCTTTCCATTTTATCCATTTTATTCATTTCCTCTATTTTTTTTTTTTGATTTTATTTTTTGCTCGTTTTGTTATTTCATTTATTTTTTGTTTTCCTTTTTTCTGGTTTTTGCTTTTCATTGCTTTCATTTTTGTCTTTTTCATTTTATTCATCTTTTCTCTTTTACTTATCTATTATGATTTTCCTTTTAATTGTCTTTTACTTTTCTTTTTATTCATGTTTTCAATTTTTCTTTTTTTTCGTCCGCATCTTTATTTGTTTATTGTTCTGCGTTTCATTTTAGTTTCTTCTTTTGTAGTGTCCTTTCTTGTTGCTGCTGCTGCTGTTGCACTTGCTTCTGCTGCTGTTGCACTTGCTGCTGCTGCTGTTGCACTTGCCGCTGCTGCTGCATTTGCTGCTGCTGCTTTTGCTGCTGCTGTTGTTTTGCTTCAGGTGGATGGAGGCGCTCAAGAGGCGCCGGCGGCCGAAGCTGCAGCACGCGGTGTCTGTACACCTCAAGCAGCAGCAGCAGCTGCAGCAGCAGCAGCTACAGCAGCAGCAGCTGCAGCAGCAGCAGCAGCAGGCTATCACGGGGACCTGCTGCAGCTGCGGCACCATCTGCACAAGCACCGACTCCAGCGCAGGCCACGCACAGCATCAGCAGCAGCAGCAGCAGCAGCAGCAGCAGCAGGATACACAGGACTGCCCAGCAACAAAGGGCATATTATGCTGTTAGTGTCTTTTTCCCTTTTCTTCTTCTTATGCACCCTTACCTGCTTTTGACGCTGCAGCAGCTGCGCAAGCTGCTGCTGCTGCTGCTGCTGCTGCTGCTGCTGGAGAAACGCTAAATTCCAGTCTGCTGCTGCTGCTGCTGTCGTGGGGTGATGCAGGCCGCGGCGGGTGCGGCGCTCTCTGCTGCAGCCGTTGCCTTGCGGGCGCTGCCGTAAGTTTAGCTGCTGCTTCTGCTGCTGCTGCTGCTGCTGCTGCTGGTTAGTGCTGCAGTCGCCGCTTTTCTTATTTATTTTTTGCTGCTGCTGCTGCTGCGGCCTGCTTTTGTTTCCTCAGGGAGCTCAGCCGTGGCGCTGCCTGCGTTGCAATGGGTGAGCCTGCTCTTGCTGCTGTCTTTGCTGCTCTTGCTGCTGCATTTGCTGCTGCTGCTGTATTTGCTGCTGCTGCTACAGCTGCAATCTACGCTTCCTTGAAGTCTGCCACGATTTTGAGTTACTTTTATGTGCTGCTTCAGGCCCTTATGATCAGTGCAATAGGCAGCAGCAGCAGCAGCAGCAACAGCTGCAGCAGCAGTAACAGCAGCAGCAGTGACCGCAGCAGCGACAGCAACAGCAGCTGCAGCATGCAGCAGCGACAGTGACAGCAGCTGCAGCAGCAGCACGAACAGCAGCAGCAGCAGCAGCAGGAGCGCAGGCTCATAGACCCGGGCTTTGTCTGCATTTCAAGGTCTCAGAAGCAGCGCAGCAAACTCCGTGCTGCTGCTGCCCTGCACTCTCTGCTAGCAGCAAGCAGCTAGCTAGCTGCTGAGTAGCTAGCTAGCTAGCTAGCTAGCTAGCTAGCTCGCCCCACACGTGATACCTTGGCTTTGCCCTAGCGCTCTTGTGTTTTCGTTTGCGCGCACGTTGGCGTTCTTAAACCCTTTTTAAAGCGTGATGCATGGCTAGGGTTTAGGGTTTAGGGTTTAGGGTTTAGGGTCTGGGGTTGGGTGTTCTGGCTGACAGTCTCGCCGTTTTTGGTGTCCGCCGGTCTCGGGAGTTCAGGGTTTAGGAAATGAAGCTTAGGGGTTAGGAATTATTAATTAAAGTTTAGGGTTTAGGGTTTAGGGTTTAGGGTTTAGGGTTTAGGGTTTAGGGTTGGGGCTTCGAGTAAGGGTTTACAGGTGGCAGGCACTGGCATATGGGTTTGTCTCTGACGGGGTTTCGGGGTTTAGGGTTTAGGGTTTAGGACTTATAGTTAATTTTTGAGTTTAATTTTAAATTAAATTTAATTAAAATAACAACAAATAACAAAAGGGTCTTTTATTTTCTGAGGACTGCGCAGCGGGAGGCCAGGGAGGATCTTCTGCGCCGTAACGTGCAACTGCTGCAGCAGCAGCAGCAGCAGCAGCAGCGAGACTGGCTTTTAGAGGAATATTTGACAGTTTTTGAGTTATTTAAGTTAAATTGAATTAATTTTTCGAATTAAAAACTGGACAGAAGGAGGAAAAGGCCGGAGGCGAGCGGCCGCGCCTCGCGGCGCCGGGGTGGCTGCAGGGCTGGCTCTTCCGGTGGAGCGGTGGCTGCGCAGTTTTTCCCGATAAGTTCCGTGAAATATATTTATTTTTTGGAATTAATTATGAATTTTTAGTTGAAAAACTCCCAAGAGCTCCCGTTTGTCGAGTATTGCCGCCGCTGTCCTGCCGCCTCAGCCCGGTGGCCTCCTGGCCTCCTCCTGTCTGTACACCCGCGCTTCTCCGCGGGCCGGCCCGGATCTTTCGAATTAAAGGACTTTTTAGACTTTATGTGTTAATTAAAGTCCATTTCTTTGGCCAGAGGCGCTCAGAATGGCGTGGCTGCGGCCCGGGGCCGCCTCGCAGGCTGCTGCAGGGCCCCTCTTCCAGCCCGAGGGCTTTGCTGCGGCCCCGGGGGCCCCGGGGGCCCCGGGGGCCCCGGTGGCCCCGGGGGCCCCCGAGGCCCCGGTGACCCCAGCAGCAGCAGCAGCAGCAGCAGCCCCGGACTCGCCGCTGCGGCCGCTGCTGCAGCAGCGCCGCAAGAACCGGACCAATGGTCTCGCGTATGCCGGTGCAGCAACCCTTGTGCTTTTTGCTGCGCTGCTGCTGCGGCGCGGCTTTGCTGCTGCGCCGCAGCAGCAGCGGGGGCCCTCCGTGGGGCCCCCCACAGACCCGCGGCCCCTCTCGCCCTTCGGGGCCCGCAGGACCCTGGGGGCCCCCGGGGGGCCCCTGGGGGCCCCCGAGGGGCCCCTGGGGGAGCTCGAAGGCAAAATCAGACCCCAAAAAAGAAGAAGAAGTGAATTTTTTCAAGTGGGAAATGTTAGGAAGCGGCGGCTGCTGTCTTTCTATGAAGCTTCTGCTGCAGCAGAGCTGCTGGCGGCTCTGACGCGGGCCTTTAACGACAGTTCGGGAGCAGCAGCAGCAGCAGGGTGCAGCGCGCCGACGGAGGAAGCAGCAGCAGCAGCAGCAGCAGCAGCAGCAGGGGACGGCAGCGCCGCCTTACAAGTGCAGCCGCAGCAGTCCAGCGATTTGCTGCAGTGGGCCAAAGCCCTGGGGCTGCCCCACGGCTTAAAAAGGCATCAAAGGCCCTGGACTATTGCCCACATATCCAGCAGCAGACACAGCAGCAGCAGACACAGCAGCAGCAGCAGCAGCAGCAGCAAAGAAGAGGCCCCACACGGCGGCGCAGCAGAAGACCCACCCAGGGCCCCTCAAAGGCCCCTTGGAGAAGCTGCCCCACGGGGCCCCACAGGGGGCCCCATAGGGGCCCCCGCGGGGGCCCCTGTGGGGCCCCCCGCGGGGGCCCCCGTGGGGGCCCCCCTGGGGGCCTCCGGAAATGTTATGGGGGGCCTCATGAGCCGTTTGCGGCGCGCTGCTGCTTCTCGTGAGGAAGACCTTCTTAGCCTTTTGGGGCAGTGGCTTGGGGAGGCCCGGAAGGGAGAAAAGTGAGAAATGTGCGAAACCCTAAACCCTAAACCCTAAACCCTAAACCCTAGCTGGACTCCCTGGGCCGCAGCTGGCTGCGGGAGGTTACGTGCTGCTGCTGCTAAGGGCCTGAGTTTTCCCGCTTTGGTTGCTGCAGCGATTCGTCCGAGTTGGGGGTTTGCTTTTAGGTAGGGTTTAGGGTTTAGGGTTTAGGGTTTTGGCTGGCCTTTTGCGTGAGAGCTGCGGCTCCTGTTTGCTGCTGTTGATTGTATTTGCCGGCGCTTTTGTCTTTTGGTTTTTCGTGTTTAGGGTTTAGGGTTTAAGGTTTAGGTTTTGTTTGCACAGCGCTGCTATTTTTACTCCGGGGTTTCCTCCTCTTGTTGCAATGTTTGGAAAAACGAAGGTTTGGGGCTGAGGTTTGCCTAAAACGAGGCATTAGGGTTTAGGGTTTAGGGTTTAGGGTTTGGCTTTGTGTTCGGTGGCGGCGATGGGGTGTACGTACACTGCGCGATGGCTGGCCGCGCAGGCAGTGAGTTTCGGTCTGTGTGCGATCTTCTCGAGAGCAGCAGATGTTTTATTATTGAAAAAGGGGAATAAAATGGATTATATGGATTTGATTTGTTGAATAAATCGGTTTAGAATTCTTCGAATGGGAGTGCGAGCTGCCGCTCCGAGCGGCGGCGTTTCGAGGCATTTGCTGCCGCGTGAACGCCGGCGGCCGTGTCAGTATGTGTTAATGCATTTATTGCATTTATTTACATATATATATTTATATTTATATTCATTCACATAATTCTGGCACAATCCAAAAGAATTTATACATCTCACCTTCGTTTGGGGGCCCCCGCGTGCGTCTGACTGCCCCCGGCGGCAGGTGGGGGCCCCGCACAGCGCGCTTGGTAAGCTGCGCAAAGTCGCGGAGCAGCAGCAGCAGTTGCTGCTGCTGCACTTGCTGCTGCCCAGCAGGTGCTGCAGCGGCGGATGCTGCAGCGGCAGGTGCTGCTGCTGCAGCAGCAACTGCAGCACCTGCCCTGCAGCAGCAGCTGCGGCACCCACTGCAGCAGCTGCCCTGCTGCAGCAGCGGCAGCAGCTGCAGCAGCTGCAGCAGCTTCAGGGCAGCAGCAAGGCGCTGCCTAGCGCAAGCAGCACGTAGCAGGTAATGTAGATTTAGGGCCTGGAGACATTTCTGCTGAAATGTTTGAGGCGCAGCAGCACATATTGAGCAGCAAAGAAGTACAGCAGCAGCTATCCGGTCTTAGCAGCAGCAGAGGAAGCTGCTGCTGCAGTTTGCAGTAGGGGGGCCCTCCTTGTCTCATGTGGCGGGGCCCCTGAGAAGCAGTTAAAGAGTACTACTTGGGAAATGCGAGTGGCTGCTGCAGCAGCAGCAGCTGATTGCTGCTGCAGCATTTCGTTTGCTGCTGGTCTTGGAAGTAGCAGCAGCAGCAAATGGTATATAAATCCATCTCTTGCGGCGGTCTGCGCCGCCCGTGGGCTGTACAGACACTCCAGCTGCAGCAGCAATTAAGGTTTCAAGTTGCCTCAGACTATTCTTTGATTTCTTTCCGCCTGAGAACTGAAGATTTTTGTGCAGCCACGAGGGTTTGCTGCGCTGGACAGTGGAGGGTTTAGGGTTTAGGGTTTGGGGTTTAGGTCCTGGGCTGTAGGAGTTAGGGTTTTGGTTTTAGGGTTTGAGGTTTGGGGCTCAGTTTTTAGGGTTTGGGGTTTAGGGCTCTGATTTTAGGGTTTGGGGTCTAGGGTTTATAGTTCAGGGTTTGGGGGCTTAGGGTTTGTTTCCTAGTTTACTATTTATTACTTTTTCATTTCTTTTTATTTATTTTATTTCATCTTTTTAGAAAAAAGGCTATTTGCCTCTCTGCAAGCGCGGTGAAGCTCAAGGCTGTGCTTTGGGGTGTACGTACACCTCACTCAAATGCGGTGTATGTACACCTCACTCAAATCAATGCGGAAATAATTAACTTAAAATCAGAATCAAAAAGTGCATGCAGAGGTGTATATGCACGCGCATGTGCTGCGTCTAGGTGTACATACAGTTGCGTAAATCCATCATTAAAGTATATATATATATATATATATATATATATGTATGCGGGTATACTTAAAATATATTTATAGGCTTATATATCATATATACATATATATATAAAATAAATATATCGTATATAATATATGTTTACATATATCTATGATATACATATATGTATATATATATATATATGTATATATGTGTATATATATAAACATAGATATATATATATATATAATATATATATGTGTAATATATATATGCATATATATATATATGTATGCATATGTATATACGTGCATGCGCGGATGTGCATACAAGCCACCGCTGCAGTTACTTCTACTTTAAACCTTCCCATATTAGAAAATCAGAAACTCATTTTTGCATTCAAAGCGGCCCCAAAACTGGCGCTGCTGCCTCCACACTTGCTGGCCCGTAGGGGGCCCCCCTGGGGCCCCTGGGGGGCCCTTAGGGGGCCCCCGTGGGGCCCCTAGGGGCCCCCCCTGGTGCCCCTGGGGGAACCTCACCAGGTCCCCGTAGGGGCCCCTCTAGGGGTCCCCTTGAGACATCCCCCGAGGACCCTCTTGAGGCATCCCTTGGGGCCCCTAAGGGGTCCTTGGGGGCTCCAAGGGGGCCCCCTTGGGGCCCCCAGGGGTTCCCCCAAGGGGGTCCTTGAGGGGCCCAAGAGGGGGGGCCCCTTTGGGGCCCCTCAGGGGGCATTTTCGTGGATGTGTAGACTTAAATAGTTGGAAAGCAAAGAAGCTTATGGTTTGTTCTTTGAAAAAGTTGGAAAGAAATGAAAAGCGAACAAAAAGTCTTTTTGATCTGGACTTTGAAGGGCCCCTTCTGCACCGAGTTGTGGGGCCCCCCGGGGGGGCCCCCACGAGGGGCCCCCCAGTAGCACTCGGGGGCCCCTTCTCAGGGCCCCCTGCTTCTCTTTTTTTGTTTTATAATTACAATTTATTATTTTCAAAGCCCCTTAACCCTTTTGCTTCTGCCTGAGGCCCTCCAAAAGCCCCTGCTGCCCACAGGGTCACTTCTTCTCCCCTGACCTCATGGGGCCCCCTGGCCCTGAAGGGCCCCCCGGGGGGCCCCCAATGGGGCCCCCGGGGTTTCCCCCAAGGGGGCCCCCTGGGGCCCCCCCTGAGGGGCCCCTTACAGGCACACCCCAAGTGAACCCCAAGGGGAACCCAGGGGTGTCCCCTGGAGTACCCCCTGGAGACCTTCAAGAGGAGGCCCCTGCAGGGGCTCCTCAGGGGGGCCCCCCTGGGGGGCCCCCCGAGGGGCCCCCTGAGGAACGCCCAGAGGGGGCCCCCGAGGGGCCCCCTGGGGGGACCCCTGAGGGGCCCCCAGAGAAGGGGGAGCAGCCCCTTTTGGCTCTGCCATGGAGGGCTTTTGACTATGAATTTAATGGGGATTTTTGCGTGGGGGGCACAGAGGTTTTATTGCCCCCGGGGGGCCCCCTGAGGGCCCCCGAAGACCAAATAGATGGGGACACAGGTGGGTGGGCCCTAGCTCTGCAAGCCTGTAAGCTCTAGGGGCCCCCAGGGCTGCTGGGGGGCCCTGGGGCCCCTGGGGCCCCTGGGACCCCTGGGGCCCCTGGGGCCCCTGGGGCCCCCTGGGGCCTCCCGGGCCCTCGGGCTGTTAGGGGCCCCAATGAGTTTAAAGCCATAGAGTTTCTAGGGACCCCAGGGGTTCTAGGGGCCCTTAGGCCGTAGTTAGCTTCATGGGGGGCCCCAAGGGGGGCCCCTGGGGGGGCCCCAGGGGCCCTAGGGATGTGCTAGGGGGCCCCTGGGGCCCCGAGGCTTCTGGGGATATAGGGGGCCCCTTCTTTACATTTGGGTCAAAAAGCCCAGCGGAGCTTTTTTCGTTTTTTGCATTCAGGCTGTTTCGTTTGGGACGCTTCGGTAGTGTTGGTTCGCTTCCTTGAGGACACAACTAAAGGCATGCAAAGGCCCTTTTGGCTCCTTGGGGGCCTCCCAGGGGGCCCCCAAGGGGGCCTCCCGGGGGGCCCCCCTGGGGGCCCCCTTGGGGGCCCCCAAGGGGCCTCGCCTCCTCTCATCATTGAGCTGGGAGCCGGCAAGGGCCTCGTGGGGCTGGGGGCCGCAGCGCTGGTCGCTGCACTAGCTGGGCGTGAGGCGAAGGCCTTAGGGGCCCCCCAGGGGGCCCCTGGGGGCCCCCCGGGGGCCCCCAAAGGGCACTGCTGCCACTTGCTGCTGACAGACTTGCCCTACTGCTTGGAGGGCCTCCGTGCTGCAGTGGAACTAAATAAGGAATTTGCAGAGCCGCTTGAGGTGGCTCCCGGCGGCTGCAGCCTCTCAGGTAGCTGCAAAGGGGCCCCTAGGGGGGCCCCCCTAGGGGCCCCCCTAGGGGCCCCCGCAGGGGCCCCCCGGCTCTCCGCAGAGCCCCCAGGGCCCCCGGGGCTCCCAGGGTCGGGTGGGGGGCGGGTGGGGGCCCCCCGGGGGCTTGAAGGGGGCCCCCTGGCGGGCGTAGCTGTGGAGGCCCTTGACTGGTTCTGCCCTGAGAAGTGCAGGGCGTGGGGCCCCTCGGGGGGCCCCCCTTGCGAACCCTTCCTTATTGTTGCTGCTGATGTCTTGTGGCTTAAAGACCTTGTAAAGCCCTTTGTAGAGACACTAGCCTTTCTCTTGAGTCCCCCAAAGGCCCCACTAGAGCCAAGTGCTCACCCCCAGGGGCCCCCTCAGGGGCCCCCTGAGGGGCCCCTCCAGGGGCCCCCAAAAGAGTGCCCGCGGGGCCCCCCGCAGGGCCCCTCAGAGAACCTTTCTGGGGGCTCTTTTGAGATTCTCTCAGAGAAAGGCCTAGAGAGGCCCCCAGGGGGCCCCCCAGGAGGGCCCCCAAGCGACCCTCCGGGGGGGCCCCCAGGGGGGCCCCCGGGGGGGCCCCCAGAGGGGCCCCCAAAGGGGGCCTTAGGATTTAGGGGCCCTTTGGCGCTCGTGGCGCATCAAAGCCGCAGCAGAGCTGTTGATGATTTATTTTTTTCTCTCTTGAAGGAAAATGGACTTTCCGCTGAGGCCCTCAACTACGAGGGTCCTTTTGAGGCCCCTTCAGGGGGGCCCCCGGGGGGCCCCCTGTGGGGCCCCACGGGGGGGCCCCTGTGGGGCCCCACGGGGGGGCCCCTGTGGGGCCCCCGGGGGGGCCCCCCGGGGGACCCCGCAGGGGGCCCCACAGGCTATAGAGGAGCTCCCAGGCATTCCGTTGAGATATTTTTGATAAGAAAAATGACGGAGTAGAAGGTTTTCTTTTGAAGGCAATTTAAGGGTGGTACAGGGGCTCGAGCGCGGCAGGGTTTAGGGTTTAGGGTTTAGGGTTCAGGGTTTAGGGTTTAGGGTTTAGGGTTTAGGGTTTAGGGTTTACGTGGGCAGCAATGTCAGTGAAAGCAGCTACGCGGCAATCTTGTCGGAGGAACTCTAGGGAAACTGACAGGCGGCTTATAACTCTAAACACTAAACCCTAAACCCTAAACCCTAAAACCCTAAACCCTTGTCCAAAGGCTGCTTTGCTCATTAGTTGCGACTCTTTCGGAAGCTGGAGCAAGTCTTCATTACCGAGGCACTGGCTAGCTGCTGGCTAGCTGTTAGCTAGCTGCTAGCTAGCTGCTAGCTACCTATTGGCTAGCTGCGAGCTAGCTGTTAGCTAGCTATTGGTTGTCTGGTAGCTAGCTGCTAGCTAGCCACTGGCTTGCTGCTCGGTATCTAGGCAACAGCTAGGCAGCTACTGGCGGGCTGCTGGCCAGCTGGTAGCTAGCCGCTAGCTAGCTGTTAGCTAGCTGCTAGCTAGCTGCTGGCTAGCTGCGGGCTAGCTGTTCGCTAGCTGTTAGCTAGCCGGTGGCTGGCTGCTAGCTAGCTGCTAGCTACCTGCTAGCTAGCTGGTAGCTAGCTGCTAGCTATGTGCTAGCTAGCTGCCAGCTAGCTGGTGGCTAGCTGTTAGCTAGCTGGTGGCTAGCTGCTAGCTAGTTGCTGGCTAGCTGCTAGCTAGCTGCCTCCTGCACAGTTCCAGAAACAAATGATCGCCAGAGGCTTCTCGTGCGACTGACCCGCAGCAGCAACAGCAACAGCAGCAGCAAAGGCAGCAGCAGCAGCAGCAGCAGCCTGCAGTGCCATTAAGCAGCTCATAATTTATCATTTATTTCTTTTTCCGCTTCGCTTTTCTTCGTTTTTTCTTTTCCCACTCGAAGCCCCAGCTCCGCAGCTTCTCCTCAATTCCTTTCTTTTCAGTTTTCTGCCAATGAACTTAAGCATTAAATTGCTCTCCTTTTTGTTTCGTGGGG